TACTTGTAAATCATACATCTAAGTAAGGGTCAATACTCCAAAATATACAAAGAACTCCTACAATTCAGTAACAAAAAATTAAATAACCCAATTGAAAAATGACTTGAATAGACATTTCTCCCAAGATGATATACAAATGGATGACAACCACATGCAAAGACCATTAGTCATTAGGGAAATGTAAATCAAGACCACAATGAGATAGCACCTCACAACCCATGAGGATGGCTATTATCCACAACAACCACCACCAGAAAATAACAAGCGTTGGCGAGAATGTGGAGAAACTGGAACCCTTGTGCACTGCTAGTGGGAATGTAAAATGGTGCAGCCGCTGTGGAAAACAGTATTGTGGTTCCTCCAAAAATTAAAAGTAGAATTAGCATATGACCCAGCAATTCCACTTCTGGATATGTACCCAAAAGAATTGAAAGCAGGGACTTGAAGGAATATCTGTATACCTGTGTTTGTAGAAGTAGTGTTGATAATAGCTAAGAGGTGGAAGCAACCCAAGTGTCTATTGTTGGGTGGATGGATAAAGAAAATATGGTGTATATACGTATATACACAATGGGGTATCACTCAGCCTAGAAAAGGAAGGAAATTCTGTCACATGCTACAACCAGGATGATCCTTGAGGACATTGTGGCTAAAAGAAATAAGACAGACACAAAAAGACTGTATGATTCCATTGACATGAGGTCCTTAGAGTACTCAAACTCATGGAGACAGCAGAAAGGGCTCCCAGGGACTGTGGGCAAGGAGGGGGAGCTGTCTAATGGGTACAGGGTTTCTGTTTTGCAAAGTGAAAGTTCTGGAGATCTTTTGCACAACACTGTGGATATACTTAACACTACTAAACTACACAGTTAAAAATAATTGAGATGGCTACAAAAATGCTTGCAGGGAGACTTGAATGTCATGAGAAAGTAGGAAGACAAGGCAGCAGGGTGCTGGCTCTTGGGAAAGTGGAAAGGGCTGCAGGGAGGGGACATTGAGAAGACTTGCGGGGAGGGAGGAAAAGGCCAGAAGAGAGACTGGGACTTGGTGGTAGATTCCTGGCCAGTGTGTGGGCTTTCTCATGCTGTGACAGGCAACAGGCACCCCAGAAAGCACTGGAGCAGGGGCCTGACCTTTCCAAACAGCTGCCGGGAGGAAGTGGTGTCTTTGGCCTTTCAAACTCACCACCTTGACCTGAACCTTGCTAACTATAGCCAAGTCTCAACGCATTCACCTCTCCTGACCTGGAGAGGGCCCCAAGAGGGAAGCCTGGGTGGTGGTCTGGGCGTGCTGGGATGCACACACAGCCCCTGGGAAGTTCAGGAAGTAGGTTCCCAGGCTGACTGTAGCCCAGTCCCCGGGGGACACCCGTCCCACTTGTGGGACGTGGCCCTCACATGCAAGCATGCACAACAGCCAGAGCCAGGAACCCCCCTGGGATTGTCCCAAGCCTGGAGCACACAATTCTCAGACTTCCACACAGTACTGTCTCAGGGGCAGGGGACAGTAGCAGGGGCTGTGGCCTCCAGAGACACTCTGCAAAACCTGGAAGGAAAGAGCTGTAAGAAGCCGGGTTGCTCTGAACCCTGATGTGAAGCGGAAGAGATCTCGTGTCCTGGTGGTGGGGACAGGACCAGAACCCCACGGCCCCAGAACCCAATCCCACTCTCTGCAGCTATTTATTTAGGGTACCATCAGAGCCCCTGAGACAGGGCGGAAGGCTGGAGTCATACCAGGCCGCCAACACCGTCCCCCACCTCTCAAAGCTGCCAGAACAGGCATCTCACAACCCGCTCAACTCCCCGCATCACTGAGATCAAGTCCAAATTCTTACCTGACCTTCAAAGTTCTCCACAATCCGGGTCCCAGGCTCCTTCCATCGCAGCTCCCTCTTCCTCGCCCTGCACCCCGCCCGCAGCCCCCCTGCACTCACACTTCCCCACACTCGACTTGGCTTCCATCTTGCTGTGGCTGCTTCTTCCCAGGCTCTGCCCAATCGATTGCTCTTCACTCTCAGGCACGCAGCTGCTTCTTGCGTGCTCAGGCCGCCCTGCTCATTGCTCTCTGCGTCTGCAGTGCATTCAAGAGCAGGGGGCTGTCTTCTGCGTCTCTCGCCCTGGTTTCCAGCACCATGGCCACACAACCCAATAAATGTTTGTTGACCAAGGAGACAAACCCGTGAGTTTTCTGCCTGTCTTTTACGGCTAATTCTGGTACCTTCCCAGAGGCTCTGGGGTATCACCTTAACCATTCACAGTAAGGGGTCCCCAAGTGCCAGGTGCCTTGCCTGTGTTATTGCATGTAGTTCTATGGCACAGGTGTTAACATTTCTATTTTACACGTGAGGAAACTGAGACTCAGAGAAGTCTAGTGACTGCCCACAGGTGGGAAGTGGTGGGGCCAGGACTGGACCCAGCGGGATCAGCTCCAGGACCTGAGCCCACATACCGTAACGTGGCCTCCCAGGAACCTACCGCAGCAGCCACAGGGTGGGAAATGCACCCACAGACTTCCCGGGAGTTCAGCATTGGGTCCTGGGATCCCTTAAACCTGCGCTTTCAGGTCAGTGGCTGAGATGGGAAGGGTGGTACCCAGAGGTGACAGCAGGGGAAGGCTGAGAGCCCGAGGGACCCTCCCACCTCAGGAGAGATGGGGCCTCATCAAAAAATCCTCTAACAGATAATGAAGCCATCTGTCCACTCTTTTTTTTTTTTTTTGAGACGGAGTCTCACTCTGTTGCTCGGGCTAGAGTGCCATGGCGTTAGCCTAGCTCACAGCAACCTCAAACTCCTGGGATCAAGCAATCCTCCTACCTCAGCCTCCCGAGTAGCTGGGACTACAGGCATGCACCACCATGCCCGGCTATTATTTCTATATATTTTTAGTTGGCCAATTAGTTTCTTTCTATTTTTAGTAGAGATGGGGTCTCGCTCTTGCTCAGGCTGGTTTCAAACTCCTGACCTTGAGAAATCCTCCCGTCTCGGCTTCCCAGAGTGCTAGGATTACAGGCGTGAGCCACCACGCCCAGCTTCATCTGTCCACTTTTGATCTTCTCAATTCTGCCCAGGGAAAGCCCCACGCTTGGAAGAGCCCTCAGGGGCACTTACTAAGCACCAGACATTGTGCTAGGTCTCCTTCTTCCAACATTCCTAACAAGTTTTATAATCTCTATTTTATGCATGAATTAATTGAAGCACAATGCAGTTATTAGGTGAGAGGTCAAGGTTAGGCAGCTACAGTATACAAACCCAGGCTAGTCTGCATTCAGAGGCCAAGCTCCTAATCACTATGCTAGACTGCCGCCACCCCCCTTCCCTGTGGATCCCAGAGATCACACGTCCCTCGCCCACCCCATCCTGACACACATGGTCCTGGAAATCAGTAAATCAGTCCTCTAATTCTTGTAAGTGAGCTGAACCCATGTGTGGCATGAGCTGAGCTACAAAAATGTTCTTGCCCTTTGTCCCATGTATTTGTTCTGGATGGAGAATAAAATCCAAGGAGAGGGGAAAAAAAACAAAGGACCAAAAAATGTTGGACAAGTTTCAATCCAAGGAGAAAAAAAAAAAAAAAGACCAAAAAACATTATTTCCACAGAGTTGTCCATAAAACCAAAATTATTAATTGCAAAACACCTGGAAGAAATCCCACATCACAATCAAGGACAAAGGCTGCACTTCCTGGGATGGGTTTGTTAACGTGACGAATACCACATGGACCTAACAGTGACATCTAGTCAGTGGGTTTCTGTGCATTTAAAATAAAGGCCAGGTGGGCGCAGTGGCTCATGCCTGTAATCCTAGCACTCTGGGAGGCCAAGGCAGGCGGATTGCTTGAGGTCAGGAGTTTGAAACCAGCCTGAGCAAGAGCGAGACCCCGTCTCTACTATAAACAGAAAGAAATTAATTGACCAACTGAAATATATATATAGAAAAAATTAGCCAGGCGTGGTGGCGCATGCCTCTAGTCCCAGCTACTCGGGAGGCTGAGGCAGTAGGATCGATTGAGCCCAGGAGATTGAGGTTGCTGTGAGCTAGGCTGACGCCACGGCACTCACTCTAGCCTGGGCAACAAAGTGAGACTCTGTCTCAAAAAATAATAATAATAATAAAATAAAATAAAGGCCAGGTATGGTGGTTCATGCCTGTAATCTCAGTACTTTGAGAGGCCAAGACAGAGGATTACTTGAACCCAGGAGTTCAAGACAGACCAGCCTGGGCAACATAAGGAGACCCTGCCTCTATGAAAAATTAAAAAGTTAGCTGAGTATGGTGGTGCACGTCTATAGTCTCAGCTACATGGGAGGCTGAGGCAGGAGGATCACTTGAGCCCTGGAGTTTGAGGCTGCACTGAGCTTTGATGATACTACTACACTCGAGCCTGGGCAACAGAGACAGACCCTGTATCTAAAAATACATGAATAGATGAATGAATGAATGAATGAATGAATGAATGAATGAATGAAAGAAAGAAAACAAAGTGTAAAAGCAGAACACTTCATTTTAATTTCAGATATACTGTCTGAATGAGAAAACCTTACCTATGCCATTGTTTTTGTTTTCCCTTTCCTTTAAAGAACTTTAAATCGATAAATTTTTGATAAGGTAATTCATGAAAGTAATAGTCCATGCACACGGCACCTTAAGGTCTAAAGAACTCCACCAGTACACAGTGACACAATCCCCATGACGCATGATAACCAGTTGTCAATTGATAAAACTCAGCAGGGCACAGGAGAGAAGTGATTTGTTTTATGGTTATGTGGATCTGCTGTTTCCTCCAGGGCTGATGAAGGCAAAGGTTAAAAAAACGAAACCCAGGCCAGACCATTCACACTATTTATAATTCAGAGCTTCTTGGCTGGGACTGTCTGTGTCAAGTCTAGCTTGAGTCCCTCTTGCTGTGATCAGTGAAGCAGCAGCGAAATCGGTGTGGGGAAGGCAGGCCATCAGAAGCAGAGGGAAGCAAGCCATGTGAGAGAAAACCCATGGCCTTCTTACCTGTTCACGTGCCAGGACCCAGTCTTCTACAGTTTGCTGGTGGCTTTAAGGGGCTCCAGGGTCCGGAGCGTGTGCCTAGGGGCTGCGGGCAGTGGGTGCCAGGTGGGAGAGGCTGTGGCTGTCCCCAGCCCACAATCCAGGCTTCCCCGCTGATGAGAAGGGCGGGCGAAAGCAGGCCACTGCGGTTCCAAGTCAGGGACTAGAGCCAGCAAGGGCGGGACAGGGCCACGTGGCCCCAGCCTGCCTGGGAGTGGTGAGTAGGAAGGAGCCTCAAAGGCAGGGGACCAGCCAGGGGACTGTTCCGACTGACTGATGGTGCAGCAGTCTCCAGAACCCCGGCCCCTGGTTCTCAAGCAGCTTGCAGTGTTTGAAGGGGGCTGCCCCAGCCCCTCTCCAGAACACAGACCCTGACAGAAACCTCTTCTCACAAAACTAAATAAAACTGGGCGATGTGGAGACAGGCCTGGTGGTACCTGCCTGTGGTCCCAGCAACTTGGGAGGCTGAGGAGGGAGGATCGCTTGAGTCCAGGAGTTCGAGGCTGCACTAAGCCATGATCATGCCATTGCACTCTACCCTGGGCGACAGAATGAGACCTTGTCTCTTAAAAAAAACAAGTGGATGCTGTGGTGGTGACTGGTGTGTGTGTGTGCGTATGGGGAGGGGGCCATTAGAGGGAGACAAAACCTTTCTCTCATACACACGGTTGCTGCTGGGGACAGATGACTTACCCAGCCTACCAGTCTACATGGGGGACATGAGCTCCGAGAGGTGAACACTTCCCAAGCTTCCCCAGCAGGTCTGACCCCAAAGCCTGGGCTTTTCCCATGCGACTTGGGCCTGTCCAGACACCACACTTGTGGGAGTTTCTAGAGACAACAGAGGAGAGGCCCTTTCCCAAAGTCCTATCCCCAGGGACACCCTCCCTGTAGCTGCATCAGAGTGACTGAGCTGGGAACAGCCCTGCCCAAAAGAGCTCTGTGGGCACCTGCGGGGGCAGCTCCGTAATCTCTACCAGATTCCACTGCATTGTACTTGGAGTAGCTGGGGTGGGCCAACCGCCTAGGCAGGTGGGAGTGCAGGGGGAGGACTGAGTTAAAAGCCTTGGGTTATCCAAGAGGACAGTTTGCAGTGCTTCCCTGAACGTGAACACAGAATCCTTTACTAAGGAGATCTTTATTAAAATCTAGGGTTCTACCACACCTAGTTCGGGAAATACTGTCCTAGACATGCTAGTGTGCCTTCTTCTGAATGCCAATGCCCAGCACAAGAGATGCTTTCCCCATTGGATCGGCACAACTGGACTTGCAGTAGTACAATAGCACCCACGCTGGAATGTCCCGGCTAACTCCCCACCCCTGGCCTCCAAGGCAGAGGCTAAAAGGGCCACACCCTCCGCAAGGCCCTGCTGTAGAGCCCTGCCAAGGCGTTGATTCATACCAGTTGGGTAGCTCGTGGGAGGGCAGAGGGGGTGGAGGTGACGGGGGCACAGCCACAGGATCTCACTGGGGCCTCACAGAAGCCTGAACAAACCCCACTGTGCCCTCCCTGGGGCCTTCGGCTTGGAATGATGCCCCTGTCTCTCAAAACATCAATATTCAGGTCTTTTGGGCCCAGAGACCCAGTTCGGTGGCCACACCTCCTCCTCAGCCCCCTAGGCACTCAGTGAACACATTCCCGTGTTACCACACCCCCAGGTCAGTCTTACTCTCCCATTTTGCAGACAGGATTGTGCTCAGAGGTTAGTGAACCCAGATCATCTGACTTCACATGCAGTGCTCTCTTCATGGGCTTCACCCCACTTGGCATTTGGCAGACACAATCTTGTTTCTTGACTGCTTTATGCAGCAAAGTTACTGTCTACAGTTTTATGCAGCAAAGTTGCCTGTCTACAGTTACAGCATTGACTCCCTAAAAGCAAAAGATACCCCAGCATATCTTCTAACAGCATTAGGCCCTAATAACCCTCAGTATTAATACTTCTCTTGACTGTCATGCTACTAGCTCATACACATTTAGTCATGGCCCCAAATTAAGCACTTGTGAAAACCCCAAATGACCAAATCAAAAGCAGCTCTCCTTTCCTTCTGAGATCTTGTTTGCAATCAGAGATGTGGGCAAGTTCTGCTGGGTGGGCCTGTGAATTAAAACTTGCAGACCGGGCTCTGGCTGGCACTGAGGTGGTAACTGAGGTGCGCTTCCTCTAGGTACTGACAGAGCTGCTGGATGTGGGGGTGGGGTGGGTGCTGAACAGGGCCCTTCCGCTTCCAGGTGAGCTCTCCCAGCATTTTCCAAAACTGGAATCCTGAAATTTCCCAACTTGGTTTTAATTTTTTTTTTTAAAGAGACAGGGTGTCACTCCGTCACCCAGACTGGAGTACAGTGGTGTGATAATAGCTCCCTGCAGCCTCAAAGCCCTGGGTCAAGCAATCCTGTCTCCTCAGCCTCCTGACTAGCTGGAACTACAGGTGCACGCCACCATGCTCCACAAATGTTTTTATTTTTTTGTAGAGATAGAGTCTTGCTATGTTGTTCAGGCCAGTCTTGAACTCCTGGCCTCAAGCAGTCCTCCCCAGTTGCTGAGATTACAGGCATGACCCATCATGCCTGATCTTTGATGTCTCTGACAATTTTTTTGGCTTCATTTTGAACAAGAAGCAATGTTCTCTCATTCCCTATCACAGCTACTGATCATTAACACTAGATTGTGAAATGCAGATATCACCAGCAGAGTCTTTCATTTTATTATTTGTTTATTGTTTTTAGAGACGGGGGCTGGCTCTGTCACCCAGGTTGGAGTGCAGTGGCATAATCATAGCTCACCGCAACTCACCTGGGCTCAAACGATCCCCCTGCCTCAGCCTCCCCAGTAGCTGGAACTACAAGATGCAAGCCACCACACCTGGCTAACTTATTTCTTGTAGAGCAGTCTTGCTATGTTGCATGGATTGGTCTTGAACTCCTGGTCTCAAGCAATCCTCCTGCCTCCGCCTCCCACAGTGCTGGGATCACAGGAATGAGCCACCACACCCAGCCACCAGCAGAGATTTAATCTTAAGAGTAATCAGGGACTCAAACCAGGAAGTCTATTCTGACAATGTAGAGGATTTTACCATCTAGCTGGGGTTAATAATCACTACTAAAGGTTTTCTATTTCCTGACCTAAACTAAACCCCTTGGCTACCCACCCCTCACCTCATTTTTCAGACTTAGGACCTTCTGATTTGTCCTAAAAGCCCCAAGGCTGTGCCTGTTGTATCTGAAGAAAGCAGAGATATGGGCTTTAGGCGCTCCTGAAACTTGCTGCCAGGCTCTCTGGCAGACTCACCTTGCCACCAGCCAGAGAGGAACAGAGACTGCCAGGTTGTAAGAACTCTCCTCCAACCTCTGGGTGCAGAGCAGACCTGGAAGGAGGTGGCACATAATAGGTATCCAGTAAACACTTGTGGAATGAATTTAGCAGCCTCTTCTAGCGGGTTGGCATGTCTCTTGATGACAGCTGAGACAGCTTTCAAAACTTCTACAGAAACAGCTCTTGGTTGTGCTGGTTCAGACTGGCATATAGCCTGTACATGCTGATTTCAGTCTGCCTCATCTTCGCAGGCACGTGGCATGATGGGCCATCAGATCCCCAAATGTAAATCTACCATGACCAAGCAGGTGTTTTATAGAGTTCCTGCCACATATCCTGGAGCCATCTGTTTCCCCCCTCCATTGTTATTTTCTTGGACAAAGTTTGATTTTAGCAGCACGGATGTTTCTTCTGAGCTCTGGATATAGCCCTTAAAAATTAATTTTAAGCATGTAATAAAATATTCATATACAATATTCCATATGCAAATGAGCAAGTGGATGACTCAAACACATGTCGTTTCTATTTTGAACGGAAAACAGAATTTAGGTGGGGGTGGTAGCCTGTGCTTATAGTCCCAGCCACTCAGGAGGCTGAGGTGGGAAGATGCCTGAGCCCAGGAGTTAAGAGGTGATAGTGAGCAATGATTACACCGCTGCACTCTAGCCTGGGTGACAGTGAGACTGTCTCTAAACAACAAATAAAGTGGAAGCAAGGCTGATCCCACTGGAAGAATGCCTCAACATTTCTGGCTTCCCTCTACTGAGCTCAAGAAAAGCTGCAGTCCTGGGAGCAGCCTGAATCCTTGGAGACCAGCATTCCCAAGACCAGTGAACCCCCAGGAGCCTTCCCCAGCCCAGGCAGCTGTCTTTGCAATAGCCTACACTAACCAAGAAAACCAACATTCCATCTGCAGTCCAACTTGAACCCCCTCCCCCAAAGGAATGCTATTCTTGGCAAGGATCTTCCAAAGGAAATAACATCTGCAGAACCTCTGTCCATAAGGTCAAGGGAAAGCTGAGACAGCTGAAAACGTTTCAGTCCTTAGATCCAAATCACAGGGACTTGACAAAGGAACAGGTTGAGAGCAAACCTAACAACCAGGGCAGAACCTCTGTCTTCACATCCTCCCAAGTTCTGCAGCAGCCTCGCTGCGTTCTGCAAGGCTGGAGAGCTCCCTATTTACCTGGTTGCTCAAGCAAACCACAGAAGTCAATTAGGTGCCCTTAACAACTACACAGATGAGACTTATAATAGAGCCACGTCCAATCACTGAAAGTTCTTAAACAACTTTTGTAGGGCCTGAAGCAACATCTATGAACAAGACAAAATTCCTCCCCTCAGCATATTCGAGCCTAATTTCCTGCTCTGGCACTCCCAGCAAACTGATGGATAGACTTGCAGAGGAAACCCAGTCGTGACAAGTTTTTCTTTCTTAGATAACCCCTTGCTACTATAGAAAGAATATGTATTTCAGTCATACTTGAGTTAGGAGAGGACAGGAATAGGCAGCCACCGCTCAAATATTTATGCTGAGTTTCTCAGACTACTAAATGTAAACATCGTACAAGTGGCTTTAGGGCCACGGGACAAAATGAGCCCTGAAATTAAGCTTTCCAAATGCAAATCCATGAGCTCAGTGAGAAAAAAAACATGTTATTTAAGGATTCAACTCCTGGCAAAACCTAGGTCACTAATGACTGATCTAAAACCAAGTCATGACTAAAGAGATACTCAGTTTCAAAGGAAAGAACCCTTTCTGGGCTGTTCAGAGTCAGATTGTGTCTAATTACCACCAGTCCTGATTCGCACCCAGTGCCAGCCATAGAGAATCTGCTCCATTTAGGTGGCTGAACACATCCAGATGAAAGCCTTTTCTTTGTGAAGGACTGGGAAGAGCGGTGAGCTCAGGTTTTCCCAGGTTCAATCTGACTGAAGGAGGGCCTGGAAGCTGAGGGCTTCCCACACAGCGAAGCAAGAGCAGGAATTCCCAGGTGTGAGCTGGAACGCTTCTGCAACTGGGCCACTTAGGCTGACAGGCTCTTGGTGCCCCCTCCTTACATCCCAAAGGCCCTCAGAAACCCACCTAAGATGTGTGCTGGAGGGACAGCCACTTCCCCCTTAAACAGGGTCCATATTGCTGACCGACCCAAGGGCAGGTGAGTATCTGGGTTTTTCTGTACTTACTGACCCTTCCTAGTAGTTATGGGGCCAAAGATCTTCTGAGGAGTTATAGACCCATCTATTAAATTGGAATTCATGCTAAACCCCTCATTCCAAGATCTCAGAGTAGAAGGATGTTAAAACAGGAAGAAAAATCAGCCATCCTTCATCAGGATCCACTGGAAGAGGGGTAGATGTCCACACGGTTATTGAGCCTAAGTTTCATCAGCAGAGCATGAAGAACCAGGAAAAGCCAAATAAATGATCACAGAGCTGGGAGCTGGAGGCCACAGGCTGCCAGAAGCCCAGGTAGATTCCTGGAAAGGAGGAGTATACTCATTTCTTCTTGCTCCAACTCAGGCTCAAATCTCCCACCTAAATTCTCATGCCCAGAAGAAGACACATGGATGTCTGCCACCTTAAAAACTAGGTTTATATTTCTGGTTAGGTTCCAAAGTGGTAGAACTCAGGAGTTATAATCTATCCAACCTGGTGCCACCTTACCTTGCCTCCCTCCCTCCCGCAGAGATAACATTGTACAAAACTATATTTACAGGAAAAACAGTTAAAAATTAAGGGCGTGTACAAAAGTAGACAGAGCCAGAAATACCAATGCAGGGATGGCTCTGGGGAACAGGGCACATCGTGCTCCACTGGAACCTGGGGTGATGTATTACATACTAGGTGGGGAAAAGTGTAGCAAATCTCAGTGCCAATTTCAGGGGAAACCAGTCATTCTGGGGTGGAGGGAAAAGAGCTACTGGCTTTCATATTGCAAAGTCTTAATTATCCAGTCATACTTCTTCTGCCGTATGGCAGGAGCCAGGTGGTGGTGATGGTGGTGGGGAAAACAAAACACAGAGTCTCTGGCAAGCCCACAGGTAAAGGGGGGACTCAGAAGGCATAACGGGTCCGGATATCTTCAAGCTTCTTGGATACCTCGGGTGGGGTTCGGTCTAGTTCTTCAGAGACGTTCTTTTGTTTGTTGGGCTCCATGGAGTTGAATTGCTCACAGAGGTCTCCATCAATCACATTCTAAGACACGGAGTACAGAAGGAAAAGGTTAGATGCTCAAAGAAAATGGTGCAAATTAAAGCAGCGACTGTAGGGAAAGCTTTTTATTCTCCCCCAGAATCCCATCTGTAGAGCCAAGAACACTATTCTAAATTGACCCTTAGTACTCAAAGTTTAGGTTGGCAGAACTGGTGAAGTTTTTTCTCTGGTTGTGGTCTGCCCTGAGGGAAAAGGACTCTGAATATTAAGTATCAATGACCACACCCCCGGCACTGCTTTCATCAATCCACTCCCTTGCTGTTCCTTCCCTCGAAACAGCTCCAATTTTTAAGACATGGAGGCCCAGAGAAAGACCAGACAAAATGGGCTGAACACCTCCCCTCCTAACCCACATTCCCTCAACCTACCTTAACAGGGAAATAATATGAACGAAAGCTGAGGTGGTCCCGCCCACAGAGAGGGGGATGCTCAGACCTCAGATGCATTTCCACGTGCTGGAAGAAGTCATGGTCCTAGTGATAGAAACAAAGAATCTGTCACTGAGAAAAAAGTGATTTCAACTACTAGGCTATGGTTTCCACAAGCACAATGAATAGACAAGCCACTGATCTCTACCACCCAAACAGATGGTAAATGTTTATTTACTCTTCTGACGATCACAGGTTTTTCTGCTACAACAAGGACAGTTAAAACCCAAAGGGAGGCTTCACTGCACTTGTGGTGTAAGAGAGAATGCCATATGTAATGAGTGGTACATGAGGTTAGATTCCTGATCACAGCTTACTTTGCTGGAATGAAACATACCAAACTTGGCCAATACCAGAGTTGACACCATGAGGCAACAGGCACCCCAACAGACATCATTCCACCTTTCCTAGTCTGTGGAATTTGGTCCTAGGGCTTTAGGTTCAGGCTAACCTTATACCCACATCACAACTGAACCAAATCCTAATATAGTATAAAAACAAATGGCCTTTCCCAGGGAGGAAAATCAGAATTCCTATCACTCCAGGCACTTCTGTTACCTTACAATTTCCAGAACACTCCTAGTTACAAGTGAGGACAAATGGATTTGCCCTCCCTGGCAGATCCAGCGCTAAGAAACAATCATAGGAAAGCCAAAGCTAGAGCAATGTGTGAGCTCTCACCTCATGGGACGTGAATGGGACAAGAATGCCAATTCCTCCTGACAAGGTGGTATAGACAAGTGACTCGGAGCCTCCAGGAATCAATGTGGTCTTCTGTAATGACAGCACTGTCTCCCCAACATGGTAGTTCATGATCACCTCTGCCTGTAAGTCAAAAACAGACTAGTAACTATGCATGCCCTTGGAAGCCTGTTCTGGACTCCCAAGAGCAGGCAGTGCCCCAAAGGCACATATCACCATCTATTAAAATCCAAAAATAACTAAAATCTAACAATATTTAGAATCCTGTAACCATTTAAAGTTTAATGTCTCACAAACATGAAGTTAGAACATTTCTCATAAATTATAACCTAAAACTTTTTTGTTAAATTATCAAGTTTGCAATAAAAAAATAAAACCGGCCGGGCTCGGTGGCTCACGCCTGTAATCCTAACACTCTGGGAAGCCGAGGCGGGTGGACTGCTCGAGGTCAGGAGTTCGAAACCAGCCTGAGCAAGAGTGAGACCCCATCTCTACCATAAATGGAAAGAAATTAATTGGCCAACTTATATAGAAAAAATTAGCCATGCATGGTGGCGCATGCCTCTAGTCCCAGCTACTTGGGAGGCTGAGGCAGGAGGACCACTTGAGCCCAGGAGTGTGAGGTTGCTGTGAGCTAGGCTGATGCCACGGCACTCACTCTAGCCTGGGCAACAAAGCGAGACTCTGTCTCAAAAAAAAAAATAAATAAATAAAATAAAATACATGTAAAATACAAATAAATAAAATAAAGAAGTACATGGCTATAGCAGAGGAGTAATGCCCAGGACACAAATAGGAGAAGAGCTGCTTAGTACCGGGAATGAACCTTATAATCAACTTGTCTAAGGAACTCACTACTCTCCCAAAAGATTTTTATACAGATTGATAAAATGACTCAGAGAATTTCTACTTTACAGATTCTCAAAAATGGGATAGTGATTTAGTCACCTGGTGCCAATCCCAGCATGCATCCGTCTCAGGCTATGCATCATCAGCCTAGGGATTTACAAGAAAGGACCATGCACGGGGAACACCCAGCATAGTCTGTGCACTGGGCGTACGTAACTCAGTAAACACTGTTTCTTTAGGAAGGACAACAGGAAAGGTACTAAGCAGTGCCTTCCCTGGTCCCCTCTCTGCAATCTTACCTTCTGTGATGCTCCGTTGAGCAAGCCTCGGTCCCACAGGGCTTTGTTTCCTGTGGGATCCTCATCCACTTCATCGTTGGTGTTAGGTGGGAGCCTCACCTACAAGGAAGCAACACAAATCACAGCGCTGGGTCCTGCACCTGCTCACCTAGGTCACCAAGCAACATCTTTGCCCCAGGTCCCTACAAGCAAGCCTAGGTTCACTTAGGCAGAGGCCTTAGCCTAAGTATCCTGACTGTTCTGGTGGGTAGGAGCTGTGTCAAAGGAGTGAGAAACTCAAGAAAATCAACCCCTGGGCAAGGGTTTAACACAGCCAAGAGCAAAAATAAAACCACAGAACATAGACAAGAGAAGTCAGGTGGGGCTTAAAAAGATAAGCCAAAGTTATAGCATGACATGAAAGTAAGTATTAGCCATTAACTCAAACTAAACCTATTATTAAGTCATGTTCCATAGGAACGAGGAAGGTAAACAAAGGGGGAAAATCAAGAAGGCTGGAAGAGTATATAAAGAGTAAGCCTTAGTAGAATTGAATTTTATACCCATTTTTAGTTCCCATATTGGGGATCATATTCCTGGGTCCTTGGCTTTACCCAAAATAATCAACTGCCCAGCTTTCCCACACATCTCTGTAATCCAAGTGAACATCCGCTCACCACGCAAATGTTGCCGAACTTGTCTGCCCCAGCCACAGTGTCGTAGTCGAGGAGGCTAGCTGTAGTGACCCATCGGGGGTAGGTGTCATCGGCAAAGATGATGAGCTGGTTCTCATTCCGCTTGTAGCGAACCCAGATGAAACTTTCTTGGACGTCAGACACGATTACCCTGTGCCCAATAGTCTGGATCCCAGAGATATAATTGGCGATATGCTGGGAAAACAAGGACAGCAATGGGTGTAACTCTAGAGTTCAGAACACAAAGAAAGTGCAGCTTTCCCTGCCCATGACATATGTGGGTCTGTGGAACTGCAGTGAGCAATAGATTCCTAGAAGGTAGAAAAGAGAGCTTAAAGAAACAAGCAGAAGCCGGGCGCGGTGGCTCACGCCTGTAATCCTAGCTCTCTGGGAGGCTGAGGCGGGCGGATTGCTGGAGGTCAGGAGTTCGAAACCAGCCTGAGCAAGAGTGAGACTCCGTCTCTACTATAAATAAAAAGAAATTAACTGGCCAACTAATATATATATATATATATATAATTAGCCGGGCATGGTGGCGCATGCCTGTAGTCCCAGCTACTCGGGAGGCTGAGACAGAAGGATTGCCTGAGCCCAGGAGTTTGAGGTTGCTGTGAGTTAGGCTGACGCCACGGCACTCACTCTAGCCTGGGCAACACAAGCGAGACTCTGTCTCAAAAAAAAAAAAAAAAAAACAAGCAGGCTTGAAGAAATCAAGAAACAAGATCCTTCTACTCCAGCTCTTCTCAAGATTCAAGGGACTAATTCTGAAGCTGAAAATGGGAAAGTAAAACACAGCCCCAACAAAGACACACTATTTTAAAAATTAGCCTCTACCACCATACCAATGCCTTCTCCTATTCCGTTAGCTAGCTCCTAGTCACATCAGCACATTTACCTTATTCTCACACTTCCGGAGTAACTTCTTCTTCCCCAAGTCATAGACACGCAAAAGCTTTCCCACACCAATCAAGACCCTCCCCTGGAATGGGGCAATGGCAGCGGGGACCTCTTCCACTGGAGTCTGTGAGAAGAAAAACAGGTGATGCAGCTATCAGAACACAGAGCCATAGATCAGTTCCACCCCTTCCACCCAGAAATGCATTCTTCTATAGGACCTGATAGGAAACCAGCCAGCAAGTGATAAACTACGCATATAGCAGCCCCCACAAAACAGGGTATTTGGGTAAACAGGTCCCACATGCTCCATTTCACCCAGCAAGTGGACCAATGCCACAAGTGAAAAGAAGTCCTGGTATCTGATAAATGCTGCCCCAGAGCCTGTGCTTGGTTAAACTGGCACCATGGAATAATAGTGACACCTCCTTTGTGGAGGGGTAGAAAAGGAATGAAAGTGACATCTTAGTTGTAAAGGAGACAAATGTCAACACAAAGAAGGGTCTGTGAAGTAATTATTTCCTAAAAGATATACCCCTTATGGAAGGGCTGTAGGGTAGGAGTCATATTCATGTGCTTTTTTTTTCTTTGAGACAGAGTCTCCCTTTGTTGCCCAGGCTAGAGTGAGTGCCGTGGCGTCAGCCAAGCTCAGCAACCTCAAACTCCTGGGCTCAAGCAATCCTTCTGCCTCAGCCTCGAGTAGCTGGGATTACAGGTATGCATCACCATGCTCGGCTAATTTTTTCTATATATATTAGTTGGCCAATTAATTTTCTTTCTATCTTTAGTAGAGACTGGGTCTCGCTCTTGCTCAGGCTGATTTCGAACCCCTGACCTCGAGCAATCGGCCTGCCTCGGCCTCCCAGAGTGTTAGGATTACAGGTATGAGCCACCACGTCCATTCATGTGCTAATGATGTGGAGGAGAGAATATTTTTTTACTTTAAAAATTATGGCTATATACATCAAGTTTATCATTTTAATCATTTCTAAGTATACACTTCAGTGGCATTAAGTACATTCAACAGTACATTTATTATTGTGCAACCACAACCACCATCTCCAGAACCTTCCCAAATTGAAACTGTGTACCCACTGAACAAGAACTTCCCAGAGAATATTCCATGTGCATCTATCTCGCCATTGTGGGTGGTCAGCACACAGGCTTCCTGAGCACCACTGAAGTAAGAATGGCCCAGTGTTTGCCATATGCTGCCAGGAGATGGATTAGAATCAAGGAGCTGGTCCCCAGAAGACCTGACCTCTAACTCAAGCCAAAGTGGGAGAATTTGTAGGACCTAAGATCCCGGAGATCAACTGGCTGATTCCTACCTTGTGCAGAAACTCCAGTTTCTCCCCATTGTTCACAAGCTTGTAAGTATAGACAAAGCCCCCTGCCACAGACCGGGGGTTCAGTATCAGGTCCTTGGCCACACCCACCAGCACATACCAGTCTTCCCCAGTGTTGGAGAACCTACACACGGCCACACTACATGCAGAGAAAATGGCAAGAGTCAGGCATTAGTCAAGACCCAGAGAGCTCCTGTCCCAGTCCACCAAAACCTGGATTGTCTTGGGCTCCTTACCTAAAAGCTGCCTCATTCTGCTCCAGCTGGACAAGGTCCAGTGTGTTCCCCTGAATAGGATTCATCACCCGGATCACAGAGGCCCACTGTCCACTGCCAGCCTTGGGAGCTCCAAAAATGGATTCAGGGAGATTTTCATTGAGGAATGCTGCTGCCATCTCTGCAGCCAGCTCCCGCTCATCCTCCCCTGCTGCTTCCACCATTTCCTAAACCCAAAAAGCAAGGAACTAATTTCAGGGGTAGGGGTTGGATGAGAAGTGGATTAAGCAACAAGAACACTTCAGTAGGAGTTCATGATATATATAAAGTAGCAAACTCTGCCATCCAAAACCAGGACTCTCCAAAATGAAGATTAAATGGAGAGGTGTACAGACATGGACAAGTGGGAATATCACTAAAGGAAAAACCAAATATTGTCCATTACATATAAGTAGAAAATGCCAAAAAGAACCCTGGCTTAGGCAAATACTACACTAGTGGTTTGAGAAACATGAAAATGAAAACCCCATTTTTCTACCTAACCCAACTGATTTCCCCTGCTAACACTACTTGTCTCCTCTCCTTCAGACTGGACACAGTTCTACATGGCTGTGGCTATTTGGTTTTTGCTGAGAAATGATTTCTGGAAAGAGCTCGTGTTGTGGGGAATATGAAAGCTGTCTCCTTTGGGCCTGAGTCTAGGAAACATAACACAGTTTATTTTGGAAGCTCAAGGAGTAAAGAAAGAACTCTGTTGCAGAGAGGGAGCTGAATTCCGAATAAACCTAGATCGGTGTATTAGTCCTGGGTCACAAAGAAAGCCTCTAAATCAAAGTACTTGGTAAAGGATTTTGCTTAAAGGACCTGAAAGATCTCTAAAAATAACAAAGAATATAATCAGCAATTATGGGGATTTAAACTTTTCAACACAATTTCACAACTGAACCCTTGAAGGTCAGTCTCATTACCTCTGCCATCTGCTGCTTTCTCTGAGCTTTGGTGGCCTCAGTGTAGGCATTGTGGTCCGTTTCAATGATGATAAGGTTGTTACTCTCAGGATGGATGACAAATTTCCTGGGTGTGTACTGTAGCGGAAAGGCTACTTGATTGAAGACAGCACCTAGCTTCTCCAATGCCAAAATCCTATGACAAAAGGAAAGGGAGTTAATAGGTCCTCACTGAGGACCTAGAAACCGTTGTTGAAATGAACCATGAGCAGTTACAGCGAACACATCAATCCCTGAAGCTCTAATGTTGGCATTAGGCAATGTCAAACCACAGCTTTCTAACCTAGATTCTGCAAAGGAGACAGTATGTAGAAAGGCCACCCTCTTCAACAATACCTCATCATTGTTCATGGCAATTACGGTTTTCTACCAATGAGACATATATTATGGTCGCCAAAGAAATTTTTTCATCACTCCAATGATAATGTGATAGTCAAGAGTTAGAATTTCCTCTTGATTATTACTGACAAACTCTAAAATAAAGAATACCAAATTTGTTATAAAACACCACAATTACCTGAATATATATGGCATTTGTACTGATTATGCTTCATCAAATAAAGTGGATGCCCTTCTAAACAAAAAGCACCTCAGCTTTAGGAAATCTGTGACAATATGAGAGAGCAAACTTCTGTCAAACGGGAAAGAGAGATGCACAGAGCCAAACCATGTGCCAAATGAGCAGAACTGATGTACTCTTAAAAACTTGAACTCTAACTACATGGAGTTGTATTGTACTTTAAATATTCTATAAATTAAAAGGTAAAAACCTACAAAGAAAATGAAAAGGAGATGACATCACACATGATGTGCCAAATAAAATTTTGGAGGTGGGAAAAAGGTGTGGAACCAACAATGAATTGAGCCCCCAAACCTGAGAAAAGTTTAAGAATTAGAAACACAGAGAGTGCATCTATTTGACAGAGCTGGAGCAGTTACTGTCTGCTGCTAAGTTTCCCACTACAGATGCAAGAAAAAAGTGTTCTTGTACTTTCTGTCTAACTATAGCAGCCAAGACTGAACACGGGGAAAACGTACAGAATTCCTGCAACTCAGGAATAACCTTGTCAATAGTGAAGAGCCTGTTTTACTCCAAAGAAAAACCTCAAATTTGAGTTTCTGCGAGAAGCGTTGAGAAATAGCCCCTACCACTCTCACCTGGTTGATTACACTTGTAAAAGCTTACAGGTTAAAACTAAAAGCAAGCCAGCAACTCTTTGGTTAAAAAAAGAAAAAACAGAAAAAACAGAAAAGAAACACAAGGATCTCAGACTTAAGGTATGGAATGTGAGTCAAGGAAGGAAAAAAGATAGGCAATATAATTTGCTAAAATGCCAAATATATCCTTTGTCCCAGTAACTCCACTTGTAAGAATTTATTCGCACACATGTGGAATGATATATGTATTAGGTTTTTCACTGCAGCACTGTTAAAAGCAAAACACTGTAACTATCCAAGACAAGACTAGTTTAGTTAAATAAACTATGGTACCATCCATGTAACAGAAGACTCTATGGCTATAAAATAGACCATGAATGCCATACAATATTGACACCAAGATATTTCTGAGACACATTGTTAAGTTAGAAAAGCATGGTGTAAAACAGTCTATGCAGGCCGGGCGCGGCGGCTCACGTCTGTAATCCTAGCACTCTGGGAGGCCAAGGCGGGTGGATTGCTCGAGGTCAGGAGTTCGAAACCAGCCTGAGCACGAGCAAGACCCCGTCTCTACTAGAAATAAAAAGAAATTAATTGGCCAACTAATATATATAGAAAAAATTAGCCGGGCATGGTGGCGCATGCCTGTAGTCCCAGCTACTCGGGAGGCTGAGGCAGCAGGATTGCTTGAGCCCAGGAGTTTGAAGTTGCTGTGAGCTAGGCTGACGCCACGGCACTCACTCTAGCCTGGGCAACAAAGTGAGATTCTCTCTCAAAAAAAAAAAACAAAAAAACCCACAACAGTCTATGCAATATGCTCTCTATATACAAAGAAAAAGAACATATGTACACATTTACTAGTACATACATAAAACTCATGTTTAATAAAGATACACAGGGGAAAAAAAAAGATACACAGGAAACTGAGAAGAGATAAGTGGCTGAAGGATAAGCTTAGAAAAGTCACATCCATTTCAAAAATAAAGGAGCTAAATAATCATGCCCTTCTCTATTCAATAACCATCAACAATGCTCTTGAATTAAAGGAATCAAGGCATCTGGAGTTATCTAAAACTTTATTTCAAATCTGTTTTCCCTTCCATTTCTCCATTATGCCCCTCCATGAGGACTAAAAATAATGGTATTACTATTATTTAAGTAAGATAATTCAAGAAAACAGAATTGTTAAAGAATTCTCAAGGAAGTAAGAATGGCTAAAGAGTTAATATACGTTTTGTAAAAGGCTTTTAATAGAAATGAGAATAGGAACTCAACAACAGGTATTCTTTCTGAAACTCAACTACCCATTCAGTTGACAAACAGATTTTTCTCCTCTGTCCCTGCCACACATAAATATACACTGAGACCTATTCTCTATGGGCCAGGATGCTAAGCTAGGCCTAGGGACACTCTGGAGAACAAAACAGAAAAGACTTGCCCCCAAGGGAACTCACACTGCTGTGATTCAACAGCAAACCAGTAATTGCTCTACCTCTCCTAAAATCAAATGGCAATGAAAATCAAAGGCCAAGAGACTTATGTTTGACAAGTGAAAATAAATAAGCAAACAATCTTTTTCAATAAATTCTCCATCACTGTGAGGAAAAAGAGCCAGTATCAGGCAGGATATGATATCAAGTAATCTGATTTTATATTTGAAGATTTACCCAGAATGTAGTACAGAGCCAGTGAGATGTAACATGGAGGAGAAAAACAAGGCTGTGAGACACGGACAGATGGAATGAGAAGATTTAACACACACCTAAATCAGGACTCCAAAAGGAAAGAACTGAGAGAACAGGAAAATAATGAAAAATTTCCGGAATAAAATAAAATGAACAGATCCAAGAAGTATAACATAAACCAAGTAAAATAAAGAAAATTCCCTAAGAACTGTAGAAATAACCCCCAAATAAATAAATCACATGTAATCTGACCACAGATCTTAATTTTAAAAAAAGGAAGACAGAAGAAAACTTTTTCAAAGTGCTGGGTGAAAAAAACACAGCTGAACTCGAATCATATATAAAAAGAGCACAAAATAAAAATCCAAACATTTCCGACATGCTATGATTGCTGGTATTCCCACTTTCATGGATTTCCAAATTCTCTGAGTAGTAATCAGCATGTTCCTTTATCTGGAGACATCAAGTAAAATATTTTAAAAACATCTAACATCTGAGTGATAAAACAAAACATTTAAATATCAAAAATTGTCATTTTGTAAGAAAAAAATAAGTATAGCATAAAACAAAAACCACAACCACTGATCCTATGGTTCTCATTCCTTTGATCTGACCCGCACACTGACGTGTTTCCATAAAGGCACCTACCATGCTAACAGACACCAGGCAGAAAGAACACCTGTCCTCTGGGAGACATGTACAAAAGTGGAATGCAGATGCTCCCATGCTGTATTCTTTCTTAGAAAATATGAAGTTAACCAGCATTTGAAAAGTGGGGGAACGTGCCATTGGTAATATCCAAGATAACTTCAGGTAGTTCTCAGATGGACTTTTAAAAATGTAATTATTTAAAAAAACAACAACAAAAAAAACTAGCCTTTTGTGCTACAAAGGACACTGCTGAGAAAGTAAAAAGACAACCTAAATTATAAGAGAAAATATCTGTAAATCATGTATTTCATAGGGAAATTCTATCGTGAACATATAAAGAACTCTTACAACTCAATACTTAAAAAAAATAATAACCCAGGTCAGGCGTAGTAGCTCACGCCTGTAATCCTAGCACTCTGGGAGGCAAAGGTGGGAGGATCGCTCAAGGTCAGGAGTTTGACTCCAGCCTGAGCAAGAGCGAGAGACGATCTCTACTAAAGATAGAAAGAAATTAATTGGCCAACTAAAAATATATAGGAAAAAAAAATTAGCCGGGCATGGTGGCACATGCCTGTAGTCCCAGCTACTAGGGAGGCTGAGGCAGGAGGATCGCCTGAGCCCAGGAGTTTGAGGTTGCTGTGAGCTAGGCTGATACCATGGCACTCTAGCCCAGGCAACAGAGTGAGATTCTGTCTCAAAAATAAAATTAAATTAAAAAATAAAATAAAAATACAATAACCCAATTAAAAAATGGGCAATGGATGTGAATAGAGATTACTCCAAAGAAGAATAAGGAGGCAATAAACATGTTAAAGATGCTCAATATCATCAGCCATCAAAGAAATACTAACCTAAACCACATGACACCACCTGACAACCACTAGGAGAGCTAGAATAAAAAAAAATCAGACGATAATAAGTGCTTGCAAGGATGTAGAGAAATTGGAACCATCATTATCTGCTAGTGGGAATGGAAAATGGTAGAGCGACTTTGAAAAGCAGCCTGGCAGTTCCTCATTCAAAAGTTAAAACGCAGGGTTACCATTTAGTATAACAATTCCACTCTTTTTTTTTTTTTTGAGACAGAGTCCCACTCTGTTGCCCCAGCATTCTAGCCATGCCACAAGCAATCCTACTGCCTCAGCCTCCTGAGAAGCTGGGACTACAGGCATGTGCCAGCATGCCTGGCTAATTTTTTCTATATATTTTTAGTTGTCCAGCTAATTTCTTTCTATTTTTTTAGTAGAGACGGGGTCTCGCGCTTTCTCAGGTTGGTCTCGAACTCCCAAGCTCAAAAAATCCGCCTGGGCCTCCCAGAGTGCTAGGATTATAGGTGTGAGCCACTGTGCCCAGCCAACAAGTCCACTCTTAAAGGTATATAACAAAAATGAAAACAAGACTACACAAAAACTCACACATGAATTCATAGCAGCATTAGTCATAAATCTAAAAAGCAGAAATGATTGGTTCTAACAGTTAAGTACCATAAAGAGCAGTGTTTAATCAGCTCCCAAGAACTCTGCTTTTATGTGTCTCACACAGTGGCCTTCTTTGATTTAGTTTTGGAGGGAAGTCCTGTTGGGAAATCTGAAAATCTGTGGGGATTGTCTAAGTCTATAGGAATTCAGGAGTTAGGAACTATGGATGAAACTACACCAAACTACAGGCCTTAAAGGACAAGGGGAATCTTGATAGGCAGAGATACATGTGGGTGGGGGAAACATTCCAGGTGCAGGTACAGAGATCAAAAATATAAAGGATGTATACAGGAGTACAGAGAGATCAATTCTGGAATAGAAGGTATATAAAGATGTTGAAGGCTAGAAAGATAGACTATGAAAAGATCCTGAAAATTGTTGCAAAGAAATCTGAGAGCTCACTTGATAAACAATAGTGACCAGCTTAGCAACAGGCCATAGTTTCATTATGAATAGCCAATAGTTATAACCAGGATATTAGCAACTATGGTAGCTCAGAAGCTTAAAAAAAAAAAAACTCCACAAAACTTGAGAAAGCCTAACTGACTAGGTTGTTTTAGGTTATTTTCCATCTTGCTAGGAATATAACACAGATAGTGCTCACTCTTGAAGTCAAAACTGTCAGTATGGGGCCGGGCGTGGTGGCTCACGCCTGTAATCCTAGCACTCTGGGAGGCCGAGGTGGGCGGATTGCTCGAGGTCAGGAGTTCAAAACCAGCCTGAGCAAGAGCAAGACCCCGTCTCTACTAGAAATAGAAAGAAATTAATTGGCCAACTAATATATATAGAAAAAATTAGCCGGGCATGGTGGCGCATGCCTGTAGTCCCAGCTACTCGGGAGGCTGAGGCAGCAGGATTGCTTGAGCCCAGGAGTTTGAGGTTGCTGTGAGCTAGGCTGACGCCACGGCACTCACTCTAGGTTGGGCAACAAAGTGAGACTCTGTCTCAAAAAAAAAAAAAAAGAAAACAACTGTCAGTATGAACTGCCAACTTGCTAAAGGCCTAATTAACTTATATTGAAGTTAATATTTGACATAACACTGCAAATGACAAGACATTAAGAAAAGGTTACCTGTGATTCAACTTGTAACTAATCCAATGGCCTTGCCCTTTTGCTGGAAAACAAAAACCTCTGGGCCAGGCCCAATGGCTCATGCCTATAGTTCTAGCACTCCCAAAGGCGGAGGTAGGATTGCTTGAGGCCAGGAGTTCGAAACCAGCCTGAGCAAGAATCTGCTAAAAACAGAAAAATTAGCTGGATGCAGTGGCGGGCACCTATAGTCCCAGCTACTTGTGAGGCTGAGGCAGGAAGATCACCTGATCCCAGGAGCTGGAGGTTGCAGTGAGCTACGATTACGCCACTACACCCTCCTCTAGGCGACACAAGACTCTCTCAAAAAAAAAAAAAGAAACAAAAACAAACCCCTTCAAATCTTAGGAAGAATGGGCTGTATTGCTAACTATTAAAGTCTAAACAGACATTAAAACTCCAAACATCGAAACTTGGCTCCCAAGTACTGAAAATCTGTGCCAAATGAAGGTTTCAATTTCAACACACGAGTCTTATGGTAAAGAGTCGGCTCTCTGCCATATCTTGACAACTTCTTCCAACACTCTGGCAGAACCACAGTCTGAGCCCTTGGCAGAATGGATTCCTGCAGGGCTTCAAACATGGGACCCACTCACCTCAGAGTGTTGGTGGAAATGGCCACAATGCCCTCAGGACATTGTTCCGAGGCGAAGCCAGATGCAAATTCTAGGGTCTCATAAGACAGAGGGGTGAGATGGAAGCGAGACTGGTAAGAATAGCTCAACCATGAGCGGCTTGACATGGCCAATACCTGAGGAGAGAAAAACATCTCAAATAAGCTTGGAAACAACTCAAACATGGGATGCTGATCAAACACCCCATCCCTAAATTTCAGTCTGCAGGATATTCTAGAAACCTAATAGGCTATCTTAAGAAAAAGAGGCCTAGAAAAGAGGCAGTATGCCTTGGCATATGCTAAAAGCACAGGTATGAGCCATATGACCAAGACTAATGACTAAATCTCACTGAGCTTATGTCTAGGAGTATAAAATGGAAATACTATCATCACAAGGCTAAACAGCTACAAGAATTAAATGAGGTAACAAGGAATGAACTAATCAGCACCCAACAACACTAATATTCTTAACCACAAAGGATATGTTTCCCAATCTCTTTCACATGAGGTGAATATACTACACCCATGATATTAATATAAGATTGAGACAAATCATGGCTAGCGGTGCCACAGATGGGAGATTTCCAGCTACCCTCCAGCCTTGTCTGCCCACAGGGCTGAAGGGACTGATAACAACCCACCTATAAGCAAATCATGGCATAGTGCCATGGAACCCCAGTTAGGAAGCTCTGGATTAAGGAATTCAAGATTTCCCACAAAAAGAAAACTAATGAAGACAGATCTAATGTTAAATTAGCTAAATAGTGGTCAATTAGTGAAAGTAAAGCTTACAATAAAGATTTTTTTCAGCTGGTGCCACTAAAATCCAAACATGCTGCCTGCCTCCTTCCATTACTTACTGCCTCCTGGCCTTGCATTCGGACACGGAAGAGCTTTACAGGACGGGATCCCAGGTATCGAGTGCGGGTGTCAGACAGATCCCCAGTGACAGGGTCCAGGACTGTCCTCAGCAGCACACCATTCTAACCAAAGGGAGAAAAACAGGTGAAGCCTACTCATGAGGGAAGCTTATCAGTTATCGTAATGAAAGTTCTCCCTTGGCTATTTCATACAGCAAATCAGAGTAGATGGGAAAAAATGGCTTGGAGGCTTAAAAAACCCTGATAATCAAACAGCCATTCATTCATTCTCTCAGTAAATCACTTACTCATTCAAATAGTTACTCAGCATCTACTAAGTAAAAAATCCTTATTTTTCACTATATACCCTTTAAATTTTTTTTGCCATATACAATAAGCTCTTCTTTACAATTTTAAATTTTAAAATAGATTCACAGTTAAAAATAACCAGGCTATAATCTCTAAACACCATTTCCCCTAAAACGAATAAGGCACCTAAGAAAAATGACTAATTTTGGGCTGGGGCAAGATTGTTCCAGATACATGTGGGACACCTTGTTGCACAAGAAGGCAAAGAATCACCTAAAGATAGTAGGATCATGTTAAAAGGAATCAACTTCAAAGGAGAACTCCCACCTGCCTAAAATGAGGCAATTTAGCACCTCCACCCTCAAAAAGGTTAACAATAGTTCAAAGCACAAATATACAAAAATCCACAAGCTCATGGTATTATTTTTAAAAAACAACAAAAAACCCCACTTCATTGGCCCCCGTGGAAGGATTGCTATTGTCCTAACTTTTTACTCTGAAACAGCTGAACAATTGTGGGAGGGGTATCATTTTCCTATATAAACTGTATTTAGAGTAAGCAAAGAAATAGAGCTGATTTTGTCTTTGGAGAAGAATTCCAGCTAATTTGAATGTAGAAAAAAAATTAAAAATCATCATTTTTAACCCCTAATGAAATTTAAAATCTAGGCAATGTGTATCAATACCTATAAGTGTAAGATCGATGGGGAGCTTTAAACAAATAAGATATTCAGCTGGGCATGGTGGCACCTGCCTATAGAGTCCCAGCTACTTGGGAGGCTGAGGCAGGAGGATTGCTTGAGCCCAAGAATGTGAGGTTGCAGTAAGCTATGATGACATCACTGCACTCCATCCTGGGCAACAGAACGAGACCCTATCTCCAAAAAATAAAATGCAGAGGACAGAGGAACACTACATACACAGGAATGACTTTGTCATGTCCTGAAGGTGAGAAATTCTGTAAGACAAATGATCTGGTCACTTAACACTTAAAATGGAAGTAGGACAGTGAAAGAGATGAAAAAAGATGAATCAAATAAAAAAGTGTGGACTGCTAAACTGAGATCCAGAGTAGAAGCAACTATAAAGCCATTTACAGGGAAAAAAGAAAATCAGAGAAAACTGGAATATGGTGTTAAGGAATTATTGTTGTATTTTGCTGGGTGTGATAACATTAATATCTTACAGACACTTGGGGCCAAGCACGGTGGTTCACACCTGTAATCCCAGCACTTTGAGAGGTTGAGGTGGGAGGATGACTTTAGTCCAGGAGTTCAAAGTTGCAGTGAGCTATGATCATGCCACTGCACTCCAGCCCAGGAAACATAGTTACATCCTGTCTCTTAAAACAAAACACCATGGCCGGGCACGGTGGCTCATGCCTGTAATCCTAGCACTCTGGGAGGCCGAGACCGGCGGATTGCTCAAGGTCAGGAGTTCGAAACCAGCCTGAGCAAGAGCGAGACCCCGTCTCTACTATAAATAGAAAGAAATTAATTGGCCAACTAATATATATACAAAAAATTAGCCGGGCATGGTGGCGCATGCCTGTAGTCCCAGCTACTCGGGAGGCTGAGGCAGCAGGATTGCTTGAGCCCAGGAGTTTGAGGTTGCTGGGAGCTAGGCTGACACCACGGCACTCACTCTAGCCTGGGCAACAGAGGGAGACTCTGTCTCAAAACAAAACAAAATAAATATCTGTTAGATCTACATTATTAAGTATTTACAGATGAAATGATAAATCATCTCAGATTTGGTTTAAAATACTCCAGGAAAAAGAAAAGAGAGGGAATAGATAAAACAAAGACAGCACAATGTTGTTGACAGCTGTTAAAATTGGGTACATGGAGGTTCATTATATTAGTCTCTCTAACTTCTGACTACGTTCGAGAATTTCTAAGTTAAGAAGTAAAATTAAAAAGTACCTGGGCTAGAATTATTTAGATGTTTGAGGAAATAAAAAGCATATTATCAAGAACCCTGACACTGTGTTAGGTTGCTGTTTTTCATAGCATAAAGAGCTCAGCTGCTTTGACAACAGGGAACATTTACGGGTCCTTTATTACTAATGGAGCCAATTATGTACTGTGACATATTTGTTTCAAAAGCTGAAATGAATTGTGAGAACTACAGATGACCCTTGAGGCTCCCATCTAGTTCTGACTACAGCAGCGATTGCAAAGCATTTTTAGTAGATCTGAAGACTCTTCATGAAAATACTTTTCCCCGGCCTGCTTTGTTCTAATTAAAGAGCTAAGAAAAGTGGAACCCAGGGCAGCACTGTTCACTTCTCCTGAAGTGGGTATCTGGAACCACAGGCATAGAGGTACATCACCTGTATCAAACAAGAGAATGGACAAAACCCACACAAGGCCTCTGGATTTCTTACCTGTAGCCCAATATTTAGGTATAGGAAGCCGATCGAGCCCCTCTCACCCAGCTCATCCTGCTTCTCAGTTCCACCCATTTCCACAATACACAAGGACTCAGGCTGGGCTGGGAGAGCCTGCATGCTCAGAGGCTGCAAACAGTCCTGTGGGGAGAGGTGGAGGAAAATCATAAAAACATAAAAAATTACCAATATTAGAAAAATATACTCAGAGAAATTTAAATTCTGGGATTGAAGAAGTACTTTCTTATACCCCAGGAGTGAGTTCTAAGATGGTAGTCAGTTATTAGTCAAACTAAATCTCAGAATAAACTTTGGGAGAATCATGCTCTCCTCTTTTTGTCAAAGTGCATTATGATAAATGTAAATATACAAAGGACACCTCCCTAAGTCACCTAAGGATATGGAGCAAGTTTCTTTTCAGGCAAACAGTCTTGAGTTTTTATGGTTTATAACTACAAAAGGGAGTTGAGGTTTAAGCCAAAGAAACATTAAAGTGGTCTCAGATCAACACCCTTAAACCACAGCAGAAGACTCCTAAGATATGCTGCTATGATAATCAAGAGAAGCAGCAGGTATAGATTCTGAGGTCTAGCCCAGCTTATCTCAGAGATGGACATCAGGAGGGGGCCAGGTGCTCAGGTTCCAACCAGAATATCTGTGAAGTTAAGGTTGTCACTCACTGAGGGGTCCAAAGAGATGATTCTGACAGTGTTGTCCACCAGCCCCACAGCCAGGAAGCGAGATCGCTGCTCTCCAGGGGGTACATTGGCCAGACTCATGCATACGACATCTGCTGACATTTCTTTCCGCTCTGTGTACTCATTCAGCTGCCCTGACTACAGGAATAAAGACAGCAAGCAGTCAAAACTACAAAGTGATGGGTCTAGATCCTCTAATTTGCCCCCAACCCCTCAGCCTAGAGAAGGAAGGCAGGCTGTTAGATTTCTTTCTGCTTCCTCTCACTCCTCTTACTATAGTCAATGACAAAAATTTCTCTGAGTTCCCAAGACTAAATTTAACAAACTAACAGCAAGCAAAATTAATATCTCTCACCAACCAGAGAATGAAGAGACCTTTGACAAGGTCAATATGCCACAAATTTTCCAAGGCTACCTTTCAGGAAATGGAAATAGATAAAACTATTTCTCTGTTCATGAGAATACTTGGAGTAAAAAGGAATTCAAACATGATAGTTATGAAGAAATCTCAACCGTAAGTACAGTGAGACTATAAAAGTTGGCCATACTAGAAACTTCCTGAGAGCAAGATATTTAAGTGAACCCACCACCCCCCTTCCACACAGAAGAGCAAAATGCAATTTTCTGAAATGGACTCAAACTGCAGAAATTAAATCTATGCCAAATATTTGCTGGAAAAGCAGAGGGCGAATTACTGGAGGAGCAAGGGTTTCATTTCAAAACTCTAATTAGAATTAGACACCAACTTACTTTTTCCTCCTCCATAAAGGGCTAGAATGGCTTGTGGACACTTTTACTCTCAGATTCTCTTTCTTTTGGCTATAATCTAGATACCTGGACTGTAACTCCCATTTACCTCTGGACTCTACACACTAAGTCCCACAGTGAATGATAAAATAACATACGGGATCCATTTCAAAATAGACCAGCTCTCCTCCTGTCAGGGCAATCACCACTTGTCGCTGGTTCACTGCACACTTCACAATTGTTTTCTTTCCGGGCGTCTTCCACTCATTGACTCTCTTGTCTGCTCGTATGTGCCGAATGCCATCTGGATACACCTAGAGTTAATAACAGAAGGAAACCTGACTTAGCAATTTATTTGACTCGTCACTCAGAAGGACCCTCATGCCTATCGGATCTCTCACCCTTGTCAGATCTGGAGCCACTGCATTTCAAGTACCAGTTGGGTCAGTGACAAAAAAGAGTTAATAGGCCACAGAGATGGTCAACTTTTTAAAAGTTCATGTTTTACACAATGTCTACTTCAAACAAGTTCAAAGATCATTAACAAAATACTTGTAAAAAGCTTTTTTTTGAGACAGAATCTCACTTTGTTGCCTGGGCTAGAATGCCTAGCTCACAGCAATCTCAAACTCCTGGGCTCAAGCGATCCTCCTGCCTCAGTCTCCTGAGTAGCTGGAAATACAGGCAGGTGCCACTATGCCCAGCTAAGTTTTTCTACATATATATTTTTAGTTGGCCAATTAATTTCTTTCTATTTTTAGTAGAGACAGGGGTCTCGTTCTTGCTCAGGCTGGTTTCGAAATCCTGACCTTGAGCAATCCACCCGCCTCAGCCTCCCAGAGTGCTAAGATTACAGGTGTGAGCCACCTGTAAAAAGCTTTAATAGAAAGGAAAGCAGCAGTAATGTGGCTCTCTGTAATAAGAAGAAAAACAGCAAACAGAGAGGGGATGTTATATGTCAAAATCAAATGTTCCCTCCCTAAAGCTTGTTGGCAAATGAGGGTGGAAAGAGACATCAACAATAGCAGCCTCCACCACCACGAGGGCAAAGAAAGAACAAAGCAAGCTGAGTGGGTAAGCAAGCTCTGAGAATCCTCACCTGCACCAAGGCATCATCTCCTAACAAAGAGCAGGACAAGGTTGGGGTGGTGCCCAGGAACCCAGAGTCAGTCACTTCTTCCACAGTCTCTCCAATGGACAACACAAGGGTGGCATTCACGAAAGACACAATGATGTAGGCATCAAATTCATCTGAAAAAGGAAAAGAACGGAGTTGGTCAGTAAGACCTCATTAGAATTACAAAGTCAAGTGAAACACTAAGAGTTTTCTCTCCAGAAACCTTCCAAGGCACTTCTGTATGTAGTCATCACACACACGAAGAGCACAGCATGATCCAAAAGATATTTGGGGGTCATAACAGCCTACATAGATATACTTTGCTTCCTTAATATTTTGAGACATGTGCTAGAAAAATTAGAGCGGACAAAGCAGGGGAATCAGAGCCATGAGGAATTTTTGAATACTACAATATTTATGTTTCTCGAGCTAGAGCACATTTGTGCCAGTTGCCAATCACAACCCATACTTAAAAGATACTCCTTTTAACCAGGAAAGATCCCAACTTCTTCCAAAAGAGGCTTATATAGGAACACAAGCTCTAATGAATAAAACAGATTATTTAAGCCTCTATGAGACTAAGTCATTCTAGGGTTGGAAACTGAGAATCCTAGTCCTAATGGGAATGATGTAGGAACACTAGATAACCAGGAAACGGGGGCTGGGCGAGTGTTTATATTGTTATTCCTTGACCTCTCTGGTTTTTCACTATTTAGAAATACAACAATCCAGTGGTCATGAGCAATCCTTTTAGCATCTGCTTCTCATAATGAAACCGAGTTGGATAAACAAACACTAATGAGTTTCTCCTGCAGATCCCATAGTTACAGGCCATCTATTTCCCATATATCCCACTCTACAACATGGAAGAGCTTGTGTGTGTGTCTCCCATATCCAGCACAATGTTTGGCATAAAGCTTGATAAATATTAGACAAAGGCATGCTCATTTTTTAAAAAGTTGAGATTTCTCTACTTTACAATTTCATTTTGTATCAACTCCCCGTTTTCTGTCCCCCTTATCAGAAATCAAGTATATATGGGACAGAGTAACAAGAAAAGGTATTAAAGGAGTGGCCACCTCACTCCTAGCAGTAGCAACTGTAGAACCCTGTTTGCCTGAGCCCCCAGTGCCACAGGGCTAGTCCATCCCACCCATGTGAAGGACATACTTGGTTTTGATTCCTCCAAATGAGGTTCAGGTGAACTAATGATACTATATGAGTTCAGCAGAATCAGCATTCTTTATAGTTTTTTTAGTCAAGTGAAAATATGTAATTAGTGTGGCCTACAATAGTGTTCTGAACTATTAGGACATAAAATCAACTTGGTGGGTTGCAATCAGCACTTTATAATAGAAACAAATATAATTAATGAGACTGAATGACACGTAGTAAAGGTAAGTACTGTTTTGCAAAATTTTTGTTTCAATTAGTACACATGTGTACACTAGGGTGGCTGAAAATCAAGAATCTTTTCCAATGGGTTGCTCTAATGGCTATCCACAAAGGGTTCAATTTTAATTTCCAAATCATAAGGAGTAAAACTGGACAAGTTTTACTCCTTGACCTTTTACACACTGCCCTTTCTAGGGGTTGCAAGTCTCATGTGAAGGAACAATTACATCATACCCAGTGAAGAATCCATTATGGTATGAGAATGCATCTTTAGGTCTCAGAAACTAACGTAGCTGCTCAGAAACTGGTTTCTAATTATGTTGTCATAACCGTCAACATATATCAAATACCTTGAGGACATCTTGTAAAACAGCTTTGTAAGTCTGTTATCATAAAATAAGTAAGGACATGGTCCCTAAAATGGATGTCTTAATAGCTTACAACAAAACCAAAATCTATCTCCACATGACACCAAACTTGGAACCTTTATACTCCTGCCCTCAGTTTTTGAATTGGAAATTTCTGGTGTCTAAAAATAATAGAAATTGCTTAATTTTAACATTATACAAATACTGTATCATTTCCAATGTGCTTATTACTGAAATCTACTACCTTAAAAGCCATGTTAGAACAAATTAAAAAGCCAAACAACAAAGGGCTCTAACCGGCCGGATTTCCAGCCTCTTTCTTCAGTCTAGGGGAAACAGAGAGCTTCTAGAAAACAGACCATACACCTTTTGACTTGTATGAATGAAAGATAATGCGGGCAGAGGGGAGGGAGGATGGAAGGAGGAGTGCCTAGGTCCTTATCTTCCATCTAACCAAGGCCCCAGAATGCTCAGATATAAAAGAAAAGAGATGCTCAGTGGGCTTACATTGAATTGCTAGACAATTCAATAGGTGGGAGAGCAATGATTGAAGTCTGAAAATTCCTTTACATGACAGATTTCCTCAAAATATCCATTACCCTGTGAATATCAAGCATACTGTAACTTATATTCCCCCCTTCCATTCTACAGCAAGAAAGACCTGCAGCAGGTTACTCTTATGTCCTAGGGCGATTACAGGTTAAAAGTTGGAGTTTGGAACAAAGCCAAGCTTCAATCACAGTAAATGACTAGAAACTATAAATATCCACATTGCCCTTTGCAAGTCTCATGTGAAGGAACAATTACATCATACCCAGTGAAGAATCCATTATGGTAAGAGAATGCATCTTTAGGTCTCAGAAAAACGTAGCTGCTATCTGTCTGAGCACCTGCTGAAGCACCCCAGAGAGGGGAATGCTTTACTTTTCTACTTCCCTTGCCTTAGGATCTAAGGCTAAATAATTAGCTCACTCTAAAGGATAAAGTGAGCAACCATCCAGATGACTGCAACCTCTAATATCTCATTCTCATTCACTTTATAGTCAGAGTACTGATGCTTCTCTTGCTCCAGCAAAGTCCTGAATATACTCAAAAGCTCCCTCCAGGTACTGATCTTTCAGTCAGTACACCTGGAACGTACATCTCCAAGGGACAATATGAAGCTAAGCTTTGCTAGCTACAGACTCTTTCAGCTTAGTGAAAGAAAAAAAATTAGTCATATTTTACAAATTCTGTGGGAGAAAAGTAGAGAAGCTGATGCCTGCCTCAAGACCACCTGATGAACAGGCAGATGGGTGTGTATCACTATGATGCACATTGACATAAAACTGCAAAGTTACCCTCTGAGAGACATCACCAGGGCAGCCTCAATATTTTGTGCAGGTCCCTTTCCATGGGTAAACTATAAGACCCCACAAAAGACCCTAGCAGTAGGTACACACCTGTGGTGATCAGCACCTTCACCAGCCACCTGTGGAAGAGAAAAAAAGGCTTGGTATTGGTAGTATGCATCACCAAGTACCAGCCAAGGTTAGTATTTGCCTGGAAGACTGCACCATGTGTGGACAGAGGAATGTTCACTCAAAAGTAACTTGGGGTATCTGAAAAGAGAATGAACAGAGAACCTGACCTATTTTTGTGGGTGACTGCCCAAAGTATAGTATCTAAAGAGTAAAATCTACCAGGATATAGTCCTTTCCTAGATTTTGACATTTAGTAAAGGAGAAAAATGGTCAGCTGCAAGTTCCATCATGCAACATACTGCCTATCACTAATTTAGCAAAATGCTTCTCTCTAGAGCCTTCCCTGATGCTCAAACAAATGCCCATTCCCTCTCCTCTAACCCCTCCTGGCAACATGCTTGTGCTGTTCACCACATCAGAAAAAAAAAACAACAGTTTTGTGTACTTGTCTTCTTTTTATATGGCATGTTCTCTGAGACAGGGATCTATGTTAATTGCTATGAGTACACATGGTCGGCATTCAAAATGACTGCACAATGAAAGCATACAACTTATCCTCAAAGAAACCAGCAAAACCCACAGACTCTGACTACAGTGTTGGTCAAAATGGAGACTGGATCGGGATTCAGGAGACGGGGAAACTGTCCCTATTACCTAGATTGGCTATTTTGAAAGTTAAGCCCAGTAACTTCCTGCCTCCATAAAAGTGATGGGTGACTTTTCTGTAAACCTAAATCTGTATCAAAATGAAAAGTTTGTTTTAAAAAGTTAGAAGAAAAAAAGAGGGAGCATACTAGTTTATCTCAAAGCATCTTTCTAATTCAAACAGTGTAGGCAGTGTCTTCAAGAGCCATAGTTATCAATAAGCCAACAAGTCAAACATCAACCAAGTCATCACACTGACCAGCTTCCTTATATAGATTACTACATACAAACCTGATTATCTAATAATTATCTTTTTAGCTCAACTAAGCCTACCAATTTCTTACTCAATTTTCCCTTTCTACTTAACTCAGATTTAACTCCCATGCCTACAATGAAAACAAAATCCAAAAAATGAACATTCTACTAAAAAAGGTTTTAAAATATAACAGAGGTTTTCCTCCTACACATTTCCCAGCTCCCTTAAACTTGTTCCATACAACCAGAACATCTAAATATCAGGAAAAATTATAGCTGTTTTATTTAAAAAAACAAAAAAAACACAAAAAGCTTTGTCTGCCAATCAGGATGATCTTACCAGTTACACATTCCCAAGGGAACAAGAGGAAAATGAGGTCTAGGAACAGAAGTGACCTATAACCCCAAAGTGATTGAAGGAAAAATAACACTGAGTTTATTTTATGGGACCACAATTTAATTGTCACAGGACTTCCCTGCTATTGCACTACTCTAGATTATCGTGTCACTTTCAAAGTTTTACAATGACGTGACCATTTCTATTCAGGAACTCAGACTCCCTCCTCTTCCTTCTCCATCCCTTCTTGTCCACTCGCTCTAAAATTCTGATTCTACTCAATCAATCTCTGCTTTTGTTAAGCAGAAGTAGTACTGACTAATTCATTAATAAGCTTTACCAAACTCCTAATTCCTAGAACACCACCTTGAACTTCACTGTGGTTTGAGCACATAGTTGAAGAAAAATGAAAAAGCAACAATATTCCCTCACACCATACTTCTTACACAGACGGAACAAGTTTATGAATATAAGGTCAAAGAACATTACCCTTAGCAGCAGTTGGATACCGAAATGTTTCTTTACGTACTGAAATAAGAACATCCACCCTGTGTCCCCTTACCCACTTCCACAAAAAGTAGCAGGAGGTGAAGGCATCCTAATTGCAAGAGCCTCAAAAACAGGGTGCTGGGCCAGAAATGTTTCTGGTATATGGTGCTAGATGAAGTGATGAAGAAGTATTAGGAATGCAGCCTCTTAAGCCTCTTTCTGGCAATGGCACCCAGACCCTATATGACTACTGGGAAGGGCTGCTTACCTTCAATGTGACGACGCACTGTCCACACAGCATTGGGGTTACCGGGTAGCTCAGAAACAGCCATTTCCGACACCTGACAGGACAGGAGGATCCAGTGAGTAGTGTACAACTCGGCTACCTGCTTACAGCTACACTAGACAGTGAGGTCTCAAAGGCTGTGCTCATACTATATGCTGGATTTAAAGGATGAAACCATCTAGTGAAGAACCTAAGAACCAAAATGGAGGTACTGGCTGTCTCCATGTCAGACTTTAGCAAAAGTCATGGAATGTATGGGAGGTTATAGGTGTCACAGATAAAACCATACCCTTCATATGGGTACAGCAAGCCTGCATCCTCAAGAAACAGCAGTAACCACTGGGAATATAATAAGCCATTCAAAGTGACATACTTCATTAATGCTAATGTTCTTAGGTCTTCCTGTTATTAAGTCTATGGATATATCATAGCATGTAACCACATTTTATAGAAAGAACTCAAGTTTATTCAAGGAAGACATAACCCTTTTCTTAGTTTATGAACATAATAATAACAGGAAGACCTAAGAACATTATCATTAATGAAGTATGTCAAGTATGCTACACTCTACACCAAATATAAAACTGACAGTCACCCTGCTCAGCCGAGACCATGATCTGGTCAAAGAATAAGGTCCAACAGACTTACAGGAACAAGTCAATGCTCAACAATTTAAAAACATTTTTATAAATTACAAAGATTTGTTTACAGATTTGAAGGGGTGAGGTGGTAGGAAATGATGACTCTTAATCTCTTACACTACACACAAATTTTGTTAATGCATATATGCATAATTTTACAGAAAGTGTTAGTTTTCATCAGATGTTCATTAGGTTCCAATTAGTAGTAACTAACTAAATAATCGAGAAGTATGGATCTAAATTGGGTCCAGGTCATTGGAAATTTGGTGAACTGATGAATATTTTGGAAGAGTCAAAAAAATCTTCAAATTCCCTGAAAAAGTATTAATAGCTAACATTTAACACTTCATGCCATATCTTATGCTAAATGCTTCACATGCATCACCTCATTTAATTCACATGATCCTTTAAGGCAGGTACATTAAGTCTATTTTATAGAAGAAAATGTAAAATGGACTTTATAATGTCCATTATTAAGACATTATTAATAATAAGTATTAATAATAATGTCTAACCAAAAGTATGGTAACAGCTATTAAGTGATAGAGCTGGAATTCAAAACCAAGGTCATCTTGGCTGTGTTTCTAATAAAAATTTATAAAAACAGGCAGTGGGACTCTTAAGAGCTGTAGTTTCACAATCCCAAGCTCTGAAAACAAATTGTTACAGGAAATTTTATTTTACTCTTAAAAAGATCAAAGCCAAGGCCCTTGCTAGAAGGTATCAACAAGAGGACTAGCTAAGAGGAGGATGTGGGATTTGAGAAGATAATTTTGACTCTCACTATCACTTAAGAGGTCCAATAAGTAAAAGATTCACTAAGTAAATTCTAATAAATCCACTTTGGTGAAATATCACAAAAACATTAAAAATGATGCTACTTAAGAGCATATACTGATGAAAAATAAATTTAGTAACATACAAAAATATATACCCATCATTATTAACTACCTAAAAACTCTAAATAAAGACTAAAAATAGGCTGGGTATGGTGGCCCATGTCTATAATCTCAACACTTTGGGAAGCCAAGGCAGAAGAATCAGGAGTTTGAGACTAGCTTGGATAATACAGTGAGATCCCGTCTCTACAAAAACTAAAATAAATACCCACATCTGGTGGCACACGTCTAGAGTCCTAGCTACTGCGGAGGCTGAGTTATGAGGATCTCTTTAGCCCAGGAGTTCAAAGTTACAGTGAGCTATGATCCTGCCACGGTACTCCACCCTGGATGAAAAAGCAAGACTCTGTCTCAAAAAAAAAAAAAAAAAAAAGACTAAGACGAGAAAGTAATAGAGTGATTTGTTCCATGCAGATTTCCTAGCCTCTGTGTCATTGCTAGTGAGCCTGGAGCTATCACAATAACAAGCTAAGCAATAGTAAATTTAAAGTACAAACTTTTTCTTGACTGGGAGAAAAACAAACAAAAAAAAAATAATAAAGTATAAACTTTAGGGAAACACAGGAGGAAGAATATACTTTTTCATAGGTATATTAACTCTTTCTTTGACTACATCAGAGTAAACACATAAACTTTAGCTTCATCAGTGCTTCCCTCCAAACCCTACAGACTATCTAGAAATTCCTATCTTACCTCAAGTCCATGCCTTAGGACTCTCAGAGATGATCTGGGTCCCCTACCACAGGCCACATACAGCTGTGGAGTATCTTCATTGGCCAGATCAGCTATCTGCACAGAGAAAAAGGAGAAAAAAAGTTTACCACTGCTAAGTTATCCAACACAATTGATTCTCTGGGGACAAACTAATTCTATATACTGGCTACTGGTATAAACAGATATAAGAGCAGATGAAAGAGCAAGACCCTGTCTCAAAAAAAAAAAAAAAAGACTAAGACGAGAAAGTAATAGAGTGATTTGTTCCATGTAGATTTCCTAGCCTCCGTGTCATTGCTACTGAGCCTGGAGCTATCACAATAACAAGCTAAGGAATAGTAAATTTAAAGCACAAACTTTAGGTTTAAACAGAAAAAGCTCCAACGTTCGAAAAAGGAAACCAGTTTGAAGCAGCAACTTGTTACAACAAAAAAATCAGCTTAAATCAGTTCCTAAGTTAGCAAAGGAACTTTTTATATTCAGTGAAATAAACCTCCAAATGGAATTGAACATTCGCTTCTGATTAAAAACATCAATAATATTCAATCCAAGGAGTAGAACCAAAAGGCCAGGTGTGGTGGCTCATGCCTGTCATCCGAGCATTCTGGAAGGCTGAGGCGGGAGGACTCTTTGAGGTCAGGAGTTCGAGACCAACCTCAGCAAGAGCCAGACCCCATCTCTACTAAAAACAGAAAGAAATTAGCTGGACAACATAGAAAAAATTAGCTAGGCATAGTGGTACATGCCTATAGTTCCAGCTACCTGGGAGGCTGAGGCAGGAGGATTGCTTGAGCCCAAGAGTTTGAGGTTGCTGTGAGCTAGACTGACACCACGGTACCCTAGCCAGGCAATAGAGTGAAACTGTGTCTCAAAACAAAAGAAAAACAAAAGAACCAAAAGAAAAAATATATATATACATGCAGCAAACTACATTATCAGTACCCGCAACTTTGTCACCAATAGAAAACACATTTATTCCTATCACATTTAATTTTGTAGATACCTCCAGTTATCATTTACCTTCATTAACACATCAAAATTGTATTTCTTACACCTGCCATTTGTTAGACTGCACAGCATCACAGATGCCCTATCTACGGATGGTCCCATGATGTAGCTGACCAGCTATTAGGTAACTCTGTACCTGGCTACTCAGCCACCAAATGACAAAGCAATCTATTCTCATATTGATATTCCAGACATCTGGCTGCTCTGAAGTACAATTATGTCTTGATCAATATGTGAAAAGAGGTGAATCACTTGTATTGTAATTTTGGCAAACAGGACAGTTTAAATGAAAAAAAAAAAGTTTTTTTTTGAGACAGAGTCTCACTCTGTGTGCCTGGCTAGAAGTGCCGTGGTATCCAGCCTAGCTCACAGCAACCTCAAACTCCTGGCTCAAGCGATCCTCCTGCTCAGCCTCCCAAGTAGCTGGGACTACAGGCATGAGTCACCATGCCTGGCTGACTTTTTTTAATATATATATATTTTTAGTTGTCTAGCATCTGGCCCAAATGAAAATTCTTAACCTTCTGTAGAGCAGTAACATAGACAAGCATGTGACATTTATGCTTACACGCCTCTTAAAAAACTAATGTACTCATTTTAAATGGATCATTTTGTTATAGAGCCTTAATAAAGGACATAGATACATAGCTGGGCATGGTGGCACACACCTGCAGGCCCAGCTACTCAATAGGCTGATGCAAGAGAATCACCTGAGTCCAGGATGCAGTGAGCTACAATCATAGCACTGCATCCCAGCCTTGGCCACAGAGCAAGACTCTGTCTCCATTTAAAAAAACAAAGAAGGCCAGGAGTGGTAGCTCACATCTGTAATCCTAGCATTCTGGGAGGCTGAGGCAGGAGGCTAGCTTGAGGTCAAGGTTCAAGACCAGCCTGAGCCAGACTGAGACCCCCATCTCTACTAAAAATAGAAAACATTAGCTCGCTGTGGTGGAATGGCACCTGAAGTCCCAGCTACTCAGGAGGCTGAGGCATAAGGACCACCTGAGCCCAGGAATTTGAGGTTGCTGTGAGATAGGCTGATGCCATGGCACTCTAGCCCAGGCAACAAAGTGAGACTGTCTCAAAAAAATAAAGAGAGAGAGAGAAAGAGAAAGAAAAAAACAGAGAGAGAGAAAAAGAAAATAAAGAATGCAGGCTGCGCAGTGTCATGCCTGTATCTAGCACGCTGGAGGCCAAGGCAGGCAAGATTGCTCGGTCAGAGTTCGAACAGCCTGGGAAGAGCGAGACCGTCTCTATTATAAATACAAAGAAATTAATTGGTCAACTAATATATATACAAAAAGTTAGGCGGGCATGGTGGCACATGCCTGCAATTCCAGCTATTCGGGAGGCTGAGGCAGGAGGATTGCTCAAGCCCAGGAGATTGAGGTTGCTGTGAGCTGAGCTGACACCACGGCACTCACTCTAGCCTGGGCAACAAAGCAAGACTCTGTCTCCAAAAAAAAAAAAAAGCATGCAGCTTTAACTAGACCATTAAGTGATAAAAGGTGAAGTTCAGAATACTATACAGTATATGAAACCACTTACTTTAAAAAAAAAAAGATCACACCTGTAATCCTAGCTCTCTTGGAGGCTGAGGCGGGTAGATCGCTCAAGGTCAGGAGTTCAAAACCAGGCTGAGCAAGAGCGAGACCCCGTCTCTACTAAAAAAAAAAAAAAAAGAAAAGAAATTAATTGGCCAACTAAAAATATATAGAAAAAATTAGCAGGGCATGGTGGTTTGTGCCTGTAGTCCCAGCTACTCAGGAGGCTGAGGCAGAAGGATTGCTTGAGCCCAGGAGTCTGAGGTGCTGTGAGCTAGGCTGATGCCACGGCACTCTAGCCCCGGCAACAGAGCAAGACTGTCTCAAAAGGAGAAAAAAAAAAGAAAAAGAAAAAAGATAACACATATAAAGATACATAATTGCAGATGCAGAGAAAATGGCTGGAAGCATAAGAATTTGTTAATAACAGTGGCCTCAATGGAGCTGAGGGTTGGGAAGACTGAGTGAAAGACTTTTAATCTTTCACCTTTTCCATGGTTTGAATTTTTACATTAAACATAAGTTTTATAATTAAAAAAAAAGCACAAGGATTTATTGTTTTTATTGCTCAAACTTTGACCTCTAACTGCTTCACCTTTACACACTGGCAATTTCACACATATGCTAATAACAAACCTGTTTCTTAGACTAGACTTTAATTTTAACTGGAAGAAAACTTTAAACTTATTCAACTTTATTTTTATTTTTTTTTTTTTTTTGAGACAGAGTTCGCTTTGTGTCCAGGCTAGGTGAGTGCCGTGGCGTCAGCCTAGCTCACAGCAACCTCAAACTCCTGGCTCAAGCGATCTCCTGCCTCAGCCTCCCGAGTAGCTGGACTACAGGCATGTGCCACCATGCCCGGCTATTTTTATTATATATCAGTTGGCCAATTAATTTCTTTCTATTTATGTAGAGACGGGGTCTCACTCTTGCTCAGGACTGGTTTTGAACTCCTGACCTGAGCAATCCGCCCGCCTCGGCCTCCCAAGAGCTAGGATTACAGCGTGAGCCACAGGCCCGCCCTATTCAACTTTAGATTCAAAATTAGCTGGTCATTCCGAAATGACTCATAAGGAAAAATTAAAAATAAAATTCAATTAAAAAACAAACAAAATCAATTGCCTGGTACTGCTCATTGTGGAGGTGACTGGAAAGGCTCATACCTGGCAAAACAGAATGGGAGAGAGGCTGTCCAACTCATCGACCAGCACAAGGTTTTTGAGTGGTCTTGGCTGAAAGAAGAATGTGTCTCCTTCTTCCAGAGGCATGGCAGATGAAAACTCAGGTTCTTCATCATCATCTCCAAATGTGCCAATTTGATATATAGGTAACTGGGGAGAAGCAGAGAAGAGAAACTTGAGTTAACATGTTCTGTCTAAAGACAACATTTGACACCAACATAATGCAAGAGCTATTAGATATTACTATTATTAATTTTAGATTTGATGATGAAGCATGCTACCTGGGATTGTTCAAGACAATTCAGGGAGGCCAGGTGCAGTGCCTCATGCCTGTAATCCTGTACTTTGGGAGGCCAAGGTAGGAGGATCACTTGAGGCCTGGAGTACAAGACAAGCCTCAATGGATTAATAAAATGTGGTATATGTATACCATGGAATATTACTCAGCCTTAAGAAACAATGGTGATATAGCACTTCTTGTACATTCCTGGATACAGCTGAACCCATTCTACTAAGTGAAGTATCTCAAGAATGGAAAAACCAGCACCACATGTACTCATCAGCAAATTGGTATTAACGGATCAACACCCAAGTGGACATATAGAAATAACATTTATCGGGTGTCGGGAGGGTGGGAGGGGGGAGGAAGGGATGGGTATATACAACCACAACGATTAAGATGTGCAACATTTCGGGGATGGACATGCTTGAAGCTCTTACTCGAGGGGGGAGGGGCCACGGGCAATATATGTAACCTTAACATTTGTACCCCAATAATACGCTAAAATTAAAAAAATAAATTAAAAAAAAAAAAAGACAAGCCTCAAACTCCTGACCAGCCTGGGAAACACAGCGAGACCCCATCTCTACTAAAAATAAAAAGAAATTAGCCAGACAACTAAAATAGAAAAAATTAGCCAGGCGTGGTAGCGTACACCTGTAGTCCTAGCTACTTAGGAGGCTAAGGCAGGAGGATCACTTGAGCCCAAAGTTTGAGGTTCCTGTGAGCTAGGCTGACTCCACTGTACCTTAACCTGGGAAACAGAGCAAGACTTTGCCTTAAAAAAAAAAATCCTTGTATTGAAAAAACTGAAAAATTAGAAACGTGTGAACTAGACATAACAGGCTAAATGTGAAAAGGGCAACCAGGTACAAACCAGGCAAAGGAGAAATACAGGAAGAGTAGGAACAAAGTCACTGAGGAGTAAAAGCCACGTTTAAGAATGGGAGAACAGATGGACACAAGGCAGAAATGGCACAGACTCCTAGACAATATCTTACTCAGCATTAGATTAGTAAAGTGGTTTGCCTATACTTTACCAGATACTGACAAAACCATGTCATCTTATCTCATGTAAGTAATGTGTAGTCTTGGAAACTGGGGTTTGTTTTTTTTTGAGACAGAGTCTCACTTTGTTGCCCTGGCTAGAGTGCCATGGTGTCAGCCTAGCTCACAGCAACCTCAAACTCCTGGGCTCCAGCAATCCTCCTGTCTCAGCCTCCCGAGTAGATGGGACTACAGGTGCGTACCACAATGCCTGGCTAACTTTTCTATTTTTAGTAGAGACGGGGGTCTCACTCTTACTCAGGTTGGTCTCAAACTCCTGAGCTCAAGCAATCCCCCTGCCTCGGCCTCCCAGAGTGCTAGGATTACAGGTGTGAGCCACGGCGCCCGGCCAACACTGGTCTTAAATTCAAGGCTGGAGTTGAGATTTCTTCCATTTGGCAATGAAAAGCCATTTAAGATTATAACACAGGGATAGGGAAAACTATTTCATCAAGGTTGTATCTTGTCTGCTCAATTAAATGACTCTATACAGGCTGAGTTTTGCAGGAAAGGCAATGAAATGAAAACAGTAAACTAGGGAGCTAGTGCAGATTAGCATCACTACAAAAAAGATACAGAAGTAAAAACGACTTAGCACTTAAATAAAAGCGGTGGAGGGTGAAAAAAAATTAAGATTTTACTCTTTAGTTGCTAGAACTGGCCCATTAGTAATTAACAGAAATAATAATGGGAGGATTGGCAATGTGGGTGGGCAGCTACAGGTAACAATAAGCTTCAACTTTACATATAGACTAGTGAAGTGCCTCCAGAACATCTCCTTAATGTTACATAGCTCGATAAATATTTTATTCAACAAAATGCCCAGCAAAAAGCTCAGGAGCGACATCACTTCTAAAGATACCTTTGCAGATACCCACAGAAGAATTGACTCAAACCACTAAAGATAACAAAGATCAGTTAGTTAGCAGCTGGATGCAAAAAAAAAAAAAAAAAAAAAATAAAATAGAAAAAAAGTAAAGGGAAAAAGAGAGTAAAACTTTTGTTTTAAAAACTAAAATATTCTTGTGAAAAGCTCCCTAAGCCTTGAAGCCACACCTCCCTCCTGCCAACTTACATAGTAACTAGGGTAAACTAGGGTAATAAAAGGATTACTCACTGGTTTCCAAATTCTGATGCTACAAAAAGGAAGCCTGTTTTAAGCACACACATGGCAGCAGCAACAGGCACGGTATCAAAATATTTGAGCCGGATCTCAGTAACCTGGAGAGAAATAATAAAGATTCTATTGCAAAGGCAAGTGAAGTAAGGCCACAAAAGTGAGCCCATTATTACTATAAGACATCATACGCTGAGTAGCAAATAAAATACTCTACTTCATATCTAAACCAGGGGTCAGTAAACTAACTCCCATGAGCCAGCCATGCCTATGTATTTACACACTGTCTATGGCTAGTTTTGTGCTACAGTGGCAGAGCTGAGGAGTTGAAACAGAGACTATATTATAGGTCCACAAGATTACAAATCTTTAAAAAAAGTTTGCCAATTCCTGACCAAAATAGCTATCTACGAAATAGCCCAACTGTTAAAAGCTCCATAGCATGAAAGTAATAGATCATATATATTACCACTTTTCAGTAGAAATAGCTTTCTCTTCTTAGTCACATCAATTATTACCACTTAAAAGTAATCACCAGAAGTGGCATTACCAGTCTCATATTAGAATTAAGGTTACCAGACCAGAAATTTGTTAGCAAGACAGAGAACACCTGTATTCATATACCAGAACCAATAGCAACCACTTTCTAAGTTCTCATTATTTTAACTTGTAACATATTAACTGTCCTCTATCTCATCTCAGAGAGTAGTTGTACTGGATAAATGATTTGTAAAACAGCTTTGTCAACCTTAAATGTACATACAAACATCAATTCTTACAACAAGGTTATTTAATTCTATTAAAATTGTAGGAATGGGCTGGGCACGGGACTTCACACCTGTAATCATAGTACTCTGGGAATACAAGGCAGCAAGAATGCTTGAGGTCAGGAGTCCAAGACCAGCCTGAGCAAAAGCAAGACCTCGTCTCTACTAAAAATAGAAAAATCAGCCCAACATGGTAGCACATGCCTGTAATCCCAGCGAGGAGGATCACTTGAGCCCAGGAGTTAGCACTCTAGCCCAGATGACAAAACAAGACTCCATTTCCCCCACCCTCCCACCCCTGACCAAAAACCTCACAATTCCTCCCACCCATAAAATATATATATATATACACACATACACATATATATATGCAAAATTGTAGGAATATTTATTAAACTGAACTAACCACAACAAATGGGTTTTTTCATTTCTCCCCTCCATCCATGGTCTACTTACCATATCTTCATCTGTCTCCAAAGTAATCTTGAAGATATCTCCCTGCTCAGTTTGGGCCAAAAAGAAGAACATCGATTTGGTCTTATGGGTGGCAGAGCAGACAAAAATCATTCCTCTTTCAGGGTCATCCAGGTCATTCTAGCATAGTTAAATACAAAATCAACATCTTAGAAATGAGTATTTCTTAGTTCTGGACAAAGCCCAGAGGCAAAAGCCTTACTGACCCAGAGCAGCCTGACAGCCACAGCACTATAACACAATAGCTTGTGTGTTATAAATATACAAAGGGGGTACCAAAAGAGTCACAATTCTACTCTATAGCCTGATCAGATCAATAAGGCAAAAGCTATCTCCACAGAAAAATGTCGGAGAAGAGACATGAAATTTAAGAGAGTCATCATTTCAGGCTGTGAATAAAACACATGTCCACAATACTACCACTCGGACCACCCTGGTCCTGGGTGCAATGGCTCATATGCCTGTAATCCCAGCATTTTGGGAGGCTGAGGCGGGAGAGTTCCTTAAAGCCAGGAGTTCAAGACCAGCCAGGGCAACATAACAAGACCTCATCTCTACAAAAAAAAAAAAAAATGTTTCATTAAGAATTAAAGGCCGGGCCGGGCGCGGTGGCTCACGAATGAGTGTATGAGCACTTCTTGTACATTCCTGGATACAGCTGAACCCATTCTACTAAGTGAAGTATCTCAAGAATGGAAAAACCAGCACCACATGTACTCATCAGCAAATTGGTATTAACGGATCAACACCCAAGTGGACATATAGAAATAACATTTATCGGTGTCGGGAAGGTGGGAGGGAGGAAGGATGGGTATATACAACCACAACGTAAGATGTGCAACATTTCGGGGATGGACATGCTTGAAGCTCTTACTCGAGGGGGGAGGGGACCACGGGCAATATATGTAACCTTAACACTTGTACCCAATAATACGCTAAAATTAAAAAATAAATTAAAAAAAAAAAAAGACAAGCCTCAACTCCTGACCAGCCTGGGAACACAGCGAGACCCATCTCTACTAAAAATAAAAAGAATTAGCCAGACAACTAAAATAGAAAAAATTAGCCAGCGTGGTTAGTGTACACCTGTAGTCCTAGCTACTTAGGAGGCTAAGGCAGGAGGATCACTTGAGCCCAAAGTTTGAGGTTCCTGTGAGCTAGGCTGACTCCACTGTACCTTAACCTGGGAAACAGAGCAAGACTTTGCCTTAAAAAAAAAATTCCTTGTATTGAAAAAACTGAAAAATTAGAAACGTGTGAACACAGACATAACAGGCTAAATGTGAAAAGGGCAACCAGGTACAAACCAGGCAAAGGAGAAATACAGGAAGAGTAGGAACAAAGTCACTGAGGAGTAAAAGCCACGTTTAAGAATGGGAGAACAGATGGACACAAGGCAGAAATGGCACAGACTCCTAGACAATATCTTACTCAGCATTAGATTAGTAAAGTGGTTTGCCTATACTTTACCAGATACTGACAAAACCATGTCATCTTATCTCATGTAAGTAATGTGTAGTCTTGGAAACTGGGTTTGTTTTTTTTTGAGACAGAGTCTCACTTTGTTGCCCTGGCTAGAGTGCCATGGTGTCAGCCTAGCTCACAGCAACCTCAAACTCCTGGGCTCCAGCAATCCTCCTGTCTCAGCCTCCCGAGTAGATGGGACTACAGGTGCGTACCACAATGCCTGGCTAACTTTTCTATTTTTAGTAGAGACGGGGTCTCACTCTTACTCAGGTTGGTCTCAAACTCCTGAGCTCAAGCAATCCCCCTGCCTCGGCCTCCCAGAGTGCTAGGATTACAGGTGTGAGCCACGGCGCCCGGCCAACACTGGTCTTAAATTCAAGGGTGAGTTGGAGATTTCTTCCATTTGGCAATGAAAAGCCATTTAAGATTATAACACAGGGATAGGGAAAACTATTTCATCAAGGTTGTATCTTGTCTGCTCAATTAAATGACTCTATACAGTATTCAACTTTAGATTCAAAATTAGCTGGTCATTCCGAAATGACTCATAAGGGAAAAAATTTAAAAATAAAAATTCAATTAAAAAAAACAAACAAAATCAATTGGCTGGTACTGCTCATTGTGGAGGTGACTGGAAAGGCTCATACCTGGCAAAACAGAATGGGAGAGAGGCTGTCCAACTCATCGACCAGCACAAGGTTTTTGAGTGGTCTTGGCTGAAAGAAGAATGTGTCTCCTTCTTCCAGAGGCATGGCAGATGAAAACTCAGGTTCTTCATCATCATCTCCAAGATGTGCAATTTGATATAAGTAACTGGGGAGAAGCAGAGAAGAGAAACTTGAGTTAACATGTTCTGTCTAAAGACAACATTTGACATCAACATAATGCAAGAGCTATTAGATATTACTATTATTAATTTTAGATTTGATGATGAAGCATGCTACCTGGGATTTGTTCAAGACAATTCAGGGAGGCCAGGTGCAGTGGCTCATGCCTGTAATCCCTGTACTTTGGGAGGCCAAGGTAGGAGGATCACTTGAGGCCTGGAGTACAAGACAAGCCTCAATGGATTAATAAAATGTGGTATATGTATACCATGGAATATTACTCAGCCTTAAGAAACAATGGTGATATAGCACTTCTTGTAACATTCCTAGGATACCAGCTGAAGCCCTTCTAACCCATAAGTGTAAGTATCTCATCAGAAATGGAAAACCATGCACTATTCTATACATGTCCTCATCAGCAAATTGGTATTAACGGATCAACACCAAGTGGACATATAGAAATACATTGTATCGGTCGTGTCTTTGGGGGGGTTTTAGGAGGGTTTATTTGATAGATTTGGGAGGGTTGGGCGGAGGGAGATAGTAATAGGTATGAGAGGGTATATACATGGGGGATGGAACAATAGGCTCACGAACTGTGAGTGAATATATGGGTGTACTTTTTAATGATTAATGTTATGATTATGGTAGCTGTTTTAGATTGGTGACTAACATTTACGTGGATAGGAACATGCTTGAAGCTCTTACATCGATAGGGGCGGAGGGGGCCTACAGGGCAAAGTTTGAATGATGTTATTGAAATCCGTTTTAATATTACTGCCGCAATTAAATATACGTCTGTAGATTAGATTTATTAGAAAAATCAAAAAATGATAAAAAAAAGAGAGACCTCTTAATACTCCTTGTACCTTAGGGCTGGGAAAACACAGAGACCTAGAATGACATGAGATGATGTTTATTTATCATACTTCTTACTAAAATTTAATTTAATAAAATGTAAATTAGCTCCTAGATTTAAATTATCATAACTAAACTAGTAATAATTAGCTTCAGCGTGTATTGGTTATGCTGATACTATTTGTAGTCCGTATGCTAACTTAGGAGGCATTAGGCAAGGTGGATCATCTTGACCTTCAATGTGTGTTGAGGTTCCTATGAGCTTATGGTTGTTGTAGCTCTTCACTGATGTGACGATTGGATTTGGAGAGCTGGGAGATAACGTAGGGAGACTATTGCTTAGAATTATAGAAAATTAGCGCCTGTATTGAAGAGCTAACATGAAAGGAATTAGAAGTTCGCGTGATTTGAACATAACAAAACGGGGATATGTGAAAGTGCAACCAGAGGTTAACATGAATATATCCAGAGCATAGGAGAAATACACTATGTGATCGATTGGAAGATACAGTATGTCCTATGTAGTGGGTATAGCATGCCTTAGAGGGATATTATTTTTACGTTTTGATAGAATAGGGAGTACAGATTGGCTAGCTTAATGGTCAAAATGATGTCATAAGACTCCTTGAGAGACAAAGATATTAATCTTTCTGCATTGTAGATTATTGAATTTATGGTTTTAGTAGGCTTGCCTATATTCATTTTTTACCATATAACTGACAAAAATTGTATTTTGTCATCATGATAAGTGTCATGGAATAAAGTAGTTAAGTAGTATATTAGAAGAATCTATAGAATAGGCTGGGTTGTGGAATTTTGTATTTGAGACAGAGTCATCAGACTTTGGTTGCGCTGTACTGGTGGGAGTGCCATTGGATGTCAGCATTGCTCGCACAGGCATCCTCTATAACTCCTGTGTCTCTCGACTAGATTGACACGCGTGTCATGCATCTACCCGATGTAGATATTGTGAAAGAGAAGAGAGATTAGCTTAGGATGCAGTACCACAGAAATTAGCGTATGCTAAACGATATATTCTTATGAATGTTTAATGTTAGAGACGTGGGTCATCACTCATTGACTGCATAGAGTTAATTGGTCGAGATCTAAACTTCGAGCTCAAGCGAATGATCCCCCTGCCTCGGCTCTTCCCAGTATGAGTGCTAGGATTACAAGGTGTGAACGCCATGCGCCCGGCAACACTGGTCTTAAATTCAAGCTGGAGTTGGAGATTTCTTCCATTTGGTGAAATAGCCATTTAAGATTATAAACACAGGGATAGGGAAAACTATTTCATCAAGGTTGTATCTTGGTCTGTCATTTAAATGACTCTATACAGGGCTGAGTTTTGCAGGAAAGGCAATGAAATGAAAACAGTAAACTAGGGAGCTAGTGCAGATTAGCATCACTGAAAAAAGATAAGCAGAAGTAAAACGACTTAGCACTTAAATAAAAGCGGTGGAGGGTGAAAAAAAATTAAGTATTTTACTCTTTAGTTGCTAGAACTGGCCCATTAGTAATTAACAGAATAATAATGGGAGGATTGGCAATGTGGGTGGGCCAGCTACAGGTAACAATAAGCTTCAACTTTACATTATAGACTAGTGAAGTGCCTCCAGAACATCTCTTAATGTTACATAGCTGATAAATATTTTATTCAACAAAATGCCAGCAAAAAGCTCAGGAACGACATCACTCAAAGATACTGCAGATACCCACAGAAGAATTGACTCAAACCACTAAAGATAACAAAGATCAGTTAGTAGCAGCTGGGGCAAAAAAAAAAATAAAAAAATAAAAAAGAAAAAAAGTAAAGGAAAAAGAGAGTAAAACTTTTGTTTTAAAAACTAAATTGGCTCACGCTGTATATAGCTCTCTGGGAGGCGAGGCGGGCGGATTGCTCGAGGTCAGGAGTTCAAAACCAGCCTGAGCAGAGGCGAGACCCCGTCTCACTTATAAATAGAAAGAATTAATTGGCCAACTAATACATATATAAGAAACAAAAATAGCCGGGCATGTGGCGAATGCCTGTAGTCCCAGCTACTCGGAGGGTGAGGCAGGAGGATTGCTTGAGCCAGGAGTTTGAGGTTGCTGTGAGCTAGGCTGACGCCACGGCACTACCATCAGTGCCTGGGCAACAAAGCGAGACTCTGTCTCAAAAAAAAAAAAAAAGAAAAAAAAGAGAACCTAAAATATTCTTGTGAAAAGCTCCTAAGCCTTGAAGCCACACCTCCTCTCTGCCAACTTACATAGTAACTAGGGTAAACTAGGGTAATAAAAGGATTACTCACTGGTTTCCAATTCTGATGCTACAAAAAGGAAGCCTGTTTTAAGCACACACATGGCGCAGCAACAGGCACGGTATCAAATATTGTGAGCCGGATCTCAGTAACCTGGAGAGAAATAATAAAGATTCTATTGCAAAGGCAAGTGAAGTAAGGCCACAAAAGTGAGCCTTATTCTATACGGACATCATAACGCTGAGGTTGGCCTAGATGAATAGATTATGACGTACTTACTTGATTTGGTATTGTCATAGTTCTATATAACCAGGGTTCAGTATACTAGAACTCCTATTGATGTCAAGCCAATGCTCTTTATTTGGTATTTTATACTACTATCTTGTCTTATTTTTAGTGCTTATGTTTATGTGCTTATCAGTTTGGGCAGAGCTGAGGGTGTGAAAAGATCTATGTAGGTACTTGAGATATTAAGAGTATAAGGATGCCTAGACAGAGATGTGAAGCTGGAATCTTTAAGAAAAAGTTATGCAAAGATTGTACCATAGACTCTAAAATGATAAGGTAGAAGCTATTCTAGAGAATGACGAAATAAGTAAGCAGTAACTGTAAATATGCGGTCCTAGAGACAAGCAATGAAATAATATAGATCTATATAGCATAGGATTATAACACTTTATCAGTTTAGTGTAATATGATATTCTCTTCTTAGTCACATCAATTATTACCATTAAAGTAATCACCAGAAGTGGCATTAACCAGTCTCATATTATGAATTAAGGTTACCGTTGAGACCTTAGAAATTTTGTTTTGATATCATATGAGACAGTGAGGAGAACGACGCATTGGGTGTATATGTACATTGATACTAGAGAGCGCTGAGTAGGACGAACTTGACGATTTTAGTTAGAGGTTTCTTCAGATTTTATAAAGTGATCCTTGTTGTAAGGACATTGAATATAGGAAGTCTGTCCTCTGAAATCTCATCGGTCAGAAGTAGTGTTATGTTTATCTGGATATTAATTTGTTTATGTATAATTGTCAGCTTGTGTTCTAAACCTATAGTAATTTTTTTTTTTAATAGACATTTTTGTTGTTTGTATTAGAGTTTTTGTGGGAGCTATACCATACATCAATTCATTGTAGATTCAGCAAGGTTATTTTGAGAGTTTGAGCTATTGCCGTGTTGTTATTGTTATGGAAGATGCTTTAGGCACGGGTCTGAAGAACTAAATAATGGGATATACGAACACTGGTATATCCTGTCAGTTACTGGATCATGGGAAGATTACTAGAGGGCCTCAAGATGGCGTTTGTGGGATCAGGAGTCAGAGCCAGCCATATGAGCGAAAGAGAAGCAAGATCTTCGTCGCGATACTTAAATAGAAAAATCAGCCAACGTTGTATTGTCTAGAAGTGTCTGTTGAATTTCACAGCGAGGATGAGAATTAACTTTTGAGACCAGAGGAGTTAGCGACTTTAAGTAGTTCGCAGACGATGATACAAGGGTAACATAATGTGACCATTTCCTCCTCTCCCGGACGGTACGAATTGAATATATGATTGGTCCACAGTCGGCCATGAACTCAAAAGAGAAACCTCATCGAATTCCTGCCATGCGCGAATGCTAGAATATTATATTTATTAAGATGATGTGTTTATTATTTATTTATTAATGGACATCACTATACAATAATAAGTAGTGATGGTGTTAGTTAAGTGTGTAACAGAGTAAGTGTGGTTATTGTGATATAATATATTAAACTGAACTAACCCAACAAATGTTTTTTTCATTTCTCCTCCATCTCATTTGTTGGGGCTAACTTTACATATCTGTGTTGTAATTTGTTCCTGAAGAATGAGATATGGGTTTGAAGATATTCTTATCCCTGCTGCAGTTATGGACCATAAGAGAGAAGACAAGGTCTGATTTTGGATCGTATAGGATGAGTACAAGAGCAGGGACAAATAGAGGTAATTGTCCTACTTTCAGGATGTCATACAGGAATCTTCCTATGGCCATGAATGAGGTATTCATAGATTATCTTGAATGCACGTAGAAAGATAATGGTATATTTTTGGTGAGGGACAGATGAGACGTCAGAGAGCAGTAGAGCCTTACTTTGACCGAGAAAGAGCAGGCCTGATCTATGCCTGTCTAAGGCACATAATATTATTAACTTTAATATCGGATGATGGCTTCTGTATATTGCATGTTTGTTGTGTTTTTATTAATGATATAATGAGATGCTAAATAATATTGGTGGTACAGAGTATAGAATTCAACATATTCTATTCGCTAGAGTATAAGCTCTTGTATAGTATCAGTTAGTAGCATAAATCTATCATCCACTGAGAAAATATATTAGTGTCGAGAATTACGAGACATGAAATTTTATATGTGAGTTGATTCATTGTCGAGGGCTGTGTGACATAAACATGTTGTACACAATGTACGTAACCATCTTCGATTGACTCACTGGGTTATTCTTGGGTTGCAATTTGCTTCATATGAGTAGTCCGGTGTGTAATGCAACCAGCATATTGGGAGGTTTGAGGTATCTGGGGATATGTGTCCTGTAATGAGATAGCCAGTGTGTCTAATGTCTTGCCAGGGCTTACACTAGCTACTGTAGATGCTTCTGTATCCGCATACAAAAAAAAAAATGTTTCATTAAGATTAAAGCCGGGCCCCGGGCGCGGTGGCTCACGGCTGTAATCCTAGCACATTCTGGGAAGGCTCGAGGGGTAGCAGGATTTGGTCTCCGATGGGTCTAGGGTATCTTTCATATTAATTCAGTCTCTGAGCAATGACCGTGTCTCTACCAATTATAATAATATGTTAGAGAAGAGATGAAATTATATTTTGACTTACATAAAATATATATTCTTGTATGATTGTTTATGTTATCGATAAAGAATTATTGCCGGGTGTAAGGATGGGACGCAATGCGTGGATAGTAGCCTCATGCATATCTGTGTTGGGGAAGTGTCGGAGGCAAGCTGAAAGGATCGCTGATGGCCCAGGCAGTTTTGGAGGTTGCTGGAGCCATGTGCTGACCACGTGCGACTCACATCTAGAGGAGCCGTGAGTGCAAGAAGTGAGACTACATAGTTCTCAAAAGCTTAAGATGGTGTTTTTGTGCTTTTGTTAGGAATTTTTATGGAGGATATAAGGATTTTGTGTAGTAGATATATTAAAAAAATTAAAAAATGAAATTAAAAGGTCCAGACATTGTCGGTGGCTCATGCCTGTAATCCTAGCACTACTGTGGTAGGTTCTGAGTACGGCGAGATTTATTAAATTGCTCAACGAGATCAGTAGGATTTGAAACCAGCTCTTGAGACAGGTTTGGAGATATTTATATGTTTAAAGATTATTTTTTTTAATTTTATCTAATATTATTTTTGGTGTGATTTTGAAGCCAGAGTACATCCTAGAGCTTAGAAGTAGAAGAAATAATAGTAATTGATGCTCTAATCTAGATATGTACATTAAGAGCGAAACATGGGAAATGAGCCATGTGCATAAGATGAGGGTGCAGCTAGTTGCTGATGGAGATAGACCGGCGAGCTACAGTCGGGGAGGTAGGCTTGTAGGGCAGGTGAGGAGATTATGTTGAAGCGCAGGAGTTTAGAGATGGCTTAGATTTGAGACATAGGTTATGATGCCACGGCACTCACTCTAGCCTGGGCAACAAAGCGAGACTCTGTCTCTAAATAAATAAATAAATATTTATACAAAACTAAAACTTGGTAACAGAGAAACTAAGAGACTACACTGTAATTACAAAAATTAAATCCATTTCACAAAATGGAATATCTCCCCCTCTCATGGCAAAGACCTTACCCGTCTCCTAGGAATCGGACAGCGGATATCTGGTTGGTCACCAAAGTTCTTGTAAGTAATATAGTTTTCAGAGCAGATCAGCACTCCACTTGGACCATCTGACCCTCCTGGAACTGTCAGAGAAAATAAAACTTAGCAGTGACTTGACATAATCATGAACTACTTCCGCTTCCAACTCCTTGTCTCCTTCAGCACAACTTAATGAAGGTAGTGTGCTAGGTATTGCACCTCGCTAACTCCTAACTAGTCCCCAGGTCTCAGCTTAAAGGGCACCTTCTTCTCCATGGGCTAGAGATTCCTCCTCTATGCTATCATGGCATTTGACACAATCTCCAGTAATTTCCTTGTCATTTATTTGTATTTACCACTAGATTCAATCTTGCGCAAAGAAAGGTACCACATATAATTTTTCACTACTGAAGTACCAGGACCCAGGAGACTGACTTGGCACATATTGATTATAGAGGCTCAATAAAAATTGGTTGAATAATGAAGCCCCTATAAAAACAAGTGCTCTTATATTATTCTCCAAAATTCTCCCAAACAACAGATATATTTCATTTTAGATACCAAATGCAATTTATCCAAAATAGAAAGAATTTGATCACTATCTTCCCCAAGCCTGCTGAAATGTAAATGATCACAAATATAGCTGTCCACCTTTAGTCTTAATATAATGAATTAACGTGACATTGATTTTCTAATGGTGAACCATCTTTGAGCTCCTCCAAAAATCTTATTTAGCTATGTGCATTTAAAATACTGTCTATAGTTGGTCCAAGGGTTGTGGGTTATTGTTAAGCTGACTTAACATTGTCTCCTCCCACAACCACGCTTAACTAGCTTTAAAATAAAATAAAATAAAATAAAATAAAATAAAATAAAATAAAATAAAATAAAATAAAATAAAATACTGTCTAAGTTCACTCTACAAATGGGACAGCTGCACTTGAATGTTTATAGCAGCACAGTTCACAATCGCAATGGTGTGGAAACAACCCAGATGCCCATCAATACGTGAGTGGATTAATAAAATGTGGTATATGTATACCATGGAGTACTATTCAGCTTTAAGAAACAATGGTGATATAGCACCTTTTGTATATTCCTGGATACAGCTGGAACCCTTCTACTAAGTGATGTATCCCAAGACTGGAAAAACAAGCACCACATGTACTCACCAGCAAATTGGTATTAATGGATCAACACTTAAGTGGACATACAGGAATAACATTTATTGGGTGTTGGGCAGGTGAGAGAGCGAGGGGGAACATGGGTAATATACATAACCTTAACATTTGTACCCCCATAGGCTGAAATTAAAAAATGAATGAGCACACCCCCAAAAAATAATAAAATAAAATACTGTCTAAGTTGATTTGCGATTCTTCTATCTATAATCGTAAGTATTAACTAGTTGTAAATTTTCTTGTTACTATCGCTCCCCAGTTTTGTATTAAAGTCTTATTAGACTAATAACAAGAACAGCAGAGTATTATTCTTTCTAGTCTCTGGAGAAATATGTTTTAAAACAGAATACATCTTTCAACAAGATAATAAAAGCGCCCTGAAAATCCTAGACCTTGAATCTTTTGGGGTAGAGATTTTTTTTTTGAAAGTGTCTCGCTCTGTTGCCCGGGCTAGAGTTCCATGGCGTCAGCCTTGCTCACAGCAACCTCAAACTCCTGTGCTCAAGAAATCCTCCTGTCTCAGCCTTCCAAGTAGCTGGGGCTACAGGTATGTACCACCATGCCTGGCTAGTTTTTTCTATTTTTACTAGACGCGGGGTCTTGCTCTTGCTCAGGCTGGTCTCAAACTCCTGAGCTCAGGAAATCCTCCCACCTCAGCCTCCTAAAGTACTAGGATTACAGGCACATGCCACCACACCTGGCCTTGGAGGCAAGATTTTTAAGTACTGCTCCAATTTCTTTAATGGATGTTGGTCTATCAGGTTAATTTCTTACTGTTACCAAAATTGTTCCAAAAAGAAATTAACCTGATAATACTTCCATTTCAGCCAGGCCCAGTGGCTCATGCCTGTAATCCTAGCACCCTGGGAGGCCGAGGCGGGCGGATTGCTCGAGGTCAGGAGTTCGAAACCAGCCTCTGCAAGAGCAAGACCTCGTCTCTACTAGAAATAGAAAGAAATTAATTGGCCAACTAATATATATCTAGAAAAAATTAGCCGGGCATGGTGGCGCATGCCTGTAGTCCCAGCTACTCGAGAGGCTGAGGCAGAAGGATTGCTTGAGCCCAGGAGTTTGAGGTTGCTGTGAGCTAGGCTGACACCATGGCACTCACTCTAGCCTGGGCAACAAAGTGAGACTCAAAAAAAAAGAAAAAAAACTTCTATTTCATCTAAGTTTTCAAATGCACAGACATAGAGTTTTATCTTGTTGAGTTTGTCAATTTCATTTCTTTTCTAAGAACTAGGTTCAGATGAGAGGGAAAGACTGACTATAGCCAAATTATCACAGCAACTAATCGTAATCAATATCCAAGGTGACTGCTCTCCTCATCCTTTCCTCCCTGCCCCCATTACAGTAAGAGTTACTGAGAAGCCATGTACTTTATTCACACAACACTTTTTTTGAGATAGGGTCTTGCTCTGCTGCCCACACTGGAATACAGTGGTGTCATCACAACTCACTGCAACCTCCCACTCCTGGGCTCAAGCAATCCTCCTATCTCAGCCTCTCAAGTAGCTAAGACTACAAATGTACACTACTGTACTTGGCTAATTGTTTTAACTATTATGTAGAGATGGGGTCTTGCTATGTTGCCCCGGCTGGTCTCAAACTCCTAACCTCAAGTAATACTCCCATCTCAGCATTCCCAAGTGCTGGGATTACAGGTGTGAGACACTGCACCTGGCCGACACAATACTTTTCTATCACTCCACCACATGAAATTCTAAACTCTCCAAAAGATAGACAGGTACTCAGGTTTACTACAAATGGGTAAGTTTCCAAACCCTATTAAGTAAAACCTATTAAGTTTGGACATAAAATGGACCAAGTAAAACAGTACAGGAAGCAGCTCTGAGAGAAAAGTACCTGTAATAAGAAAGTTGCCATGTTCCTCCAAAGGTTCACTATATTTTCGGACCACATGATTTAAACCAAGGTCTAGCTCATAGAAAGTAAGTGTCTGCTGGGTATTTGCTGCTGCTTCTCCTGTTGGATCATTGTCTGCTTCCTATAGAGGAGAAAAGTGGCACAAAGATTAATCAGCAGCATAAAATCAAAAAACTTTTAGATCTGAAAAGAATATCAGGACTCCTCCATTTTACCAACAAGGAAACAGAGGTCTACAGATCCCAAATGGTTTGAACAAGCTGATGCTACTAGAAAGTGGCAGAGCTAAAACAAGAACCTGAATCTCCAAATTCTGGATCCAGGATCCCTCTACTAGAGGATACTGCTTTCTATTCAAGGCAAAGAATGGTAAGTTCTGATTTTCATTACTTCCCTGTGAAAAAAATACCCCAAATATAGCTTCACCTTTTTCATGCATCTTTTCCCAATACCTTGTTTTTCATAGGGAGATTACTTAAATCTGAGCAAAGGTTATGTCATTAGTTAAGCTCTTAAACATTCCAGAGAATTTCAGTAAGGCATATGGAATCTGAGAAAGATCTGCTAGCAGGACAGATTTAAGATATACACAAGTAAGAGAGAACAATCAGGTGACTGAAAGAAATCCAAAGAAAGAGAAAGACAAGGTCCCCATTACCTCATAATCCATTTCCAGACAAGCAAACATTGGATTTTCAAATCCCACATCTACTCCAACTACATGATATACTAAAGTGTTCGCTTTGTGGGCTTCCAGGGGAGATGAAATGGTAAGTCGGGCTGCAGCATCTCTGTTCAAGATATACACCAATTTCTGTTTCTCAATGGCACCTGTAGTCAAAGAAGATTTCCAGATAACAAAAAGAGAGATTACAGAACAGCTAGATTCACATTGTGATTATTTTTTAAAAATCACTGTTCTTATTAACAGCCAACACTAACTCTACAAGTGTAGTAACTCAGGATTCTGTTCTCTATCCTTAGCATAAATAATAGCATAATCCCTCCTTCCTAATAAGGATCTTAATATTTCATTAACTCTTTAAAATTTTTTCTGTCCTAGATTGAAGGTTATTGAAAAACTAAGTAATTCATAAACTTGTTAGCTTTATTTATTCTTTGAATTACACCTAACCGTTTTGTGACTGCTCAGAGAAGGTTGCCCTCTAGAGGCCAATCAGATACACCGAATTTTCTTCAAGAATATATCAGAGAAGAGACATGAATGTGAATCATCACTTAGGCTTATGAAGGCAACCATATTCATTGTCTAACACAGATCATTTCACTGTATCATTTTTACTACAGATGAAGCAAGAAAGTGGAAAAAACCCTATTTCCAACTAGATGGGAAGCAAAAAAGGTGCATTAAATTTTTTCCATTATTTTTAAAGGAAACGTAACTTTAAACCTATAGTAAATCAAAATATGATGCTAAACTTTACCCACGTAAGTGATCCACTGGCACAGTGCCAAGATCACAGCATTGTTATCCTAAACTGAGCATTTTTAAGAGATGTACTCAATAGACCAAGTATAGCAAGTCACTCACTAATCATAACAGCTCGCCCTTTGGGATCCACAGCTAAGAACTGCCCAGGAACGATACGGCGGCATCCACTCTTGCCAAAGGTTTCTTGGTGAATTTTCTCAAACATATTCTTAGATGGCTGGTATTCCAAAATAACAATTCGACCAGAGTCACTGCCAACTACAATGTAGTCTTTGGTACCACCTGTCAGCCTAAAGGCCATGAGTGACCGGATAACACCAAATACTTCCACAGTGAGAAGGGTATGTACTTTGCCAGTGTTGGGGTCTGGGCGAAGCAGTTCCAAAATCTTCCCACGAGAAACAACAATTTCCTGTTGTTTGGTTCCTAGATCACCAAAAAATAAAGATCATTAACAATCAGAGCTAGTTTAAAAAGTAAGCTGGATAGACAGAAATGCTACTTAAGATTCAATAATTTGGAGGCCCAGTGCTTTAAGTTAACTTATTTTATTTGAAAAAGCATTTTTCCTAGAACTGAAATGATCTAAGTAGTATCAAAAAAAACTTTAAAAATGGTCACGCAAGTTACTTTTCATTATTTATTTTTTGAGTATCTCACTCTGTGGATGGCATGCAATGGCCCAATCATAACTCACTGCAGCCTCAAAGTCCTGGGCTTAAGCAATCCTCCCATCTCAGCCTCCTAAACAGCTGGGATTACAGGAACACACCACCACACCCAACTAACTTTTTTATTCTTTTGTAGAGATGGGATCTCCCTACATTGTCTGGGCTAGTCTCAAACTCCTGCCCTCAAGCAATCTTCCCACCCTGGCCACCGAAAGTGCCAGGATTCCAAGCCTGAGCCACTGCGCCCAACCCACTAAGGTTACTTTAAAAAAAAAAAAAACAACTCCTTTTTATTTTTCTAAGATTTGCCATCAATCTGCTAATTGGGAATTGCCTGTAAATGGTATTAAAGTATAATATATAGCAACTTCGTAAGATTAAAATTTTCCATAGACTCTTTCCAGTCCATCTTTAAGGCTACTGCTCTACAAAATCATTTAACCTTCTATGTAGTTTGATAAAGTGTCTCAAAGAAGTTCTGAAGCTACTATCCAAAATATGCTGTTATTTCTAAACTCCTAAGAAGTTCACTTTCTTAACTGCAATCAACACTTCCAAATGCGTAACAGGCAACTATGTCCCCATCTCTCCCTGCCTGCTATGTAATTATACCTGGATGAGTTGTCATTAACCTTAAATGTTTAAGTAAGTTCGTTCTTCCTTCTTCAAAGTCCCCCTCTGGTCTCAACTAAACTGCTGTTACTGTTATTTTATCTGTCAGCCAGACTGCAAATTCATATCCTTCACTTTCTAGTCCCACTGCCATGGTCCAGGTTTTCATAATCTAATGCCTAACAGTCTTCCTCACCTATCTGATATTCCACCCACTACCCATTCCAATCCATTCTCATTTGTAAAAATGCCTCTACTTATCAGGCCACCTTAGTTTCCAAAGGTTCTTTGCAGATCAGATAAGATTAAGTGCTCCAAAGTGCTTTAGAAAATGCAAAGTAGGCCTGGTCCTGTAATCCTAGAACTCTGGGAAGCAGAGGCAAGTGGATTGCTAGAGGTCAGTTCAAAACCAGCCTGAGGAGGAGCGAGTCCTCACCTCTACTATAAAATAGAAAGAAATTAATTGGCCAACTAATATATATAGAAAAAATTAGCCGGGCATGGTGGCGCACGCCTGTAGTCCCAGCTACTCGGGAAGCTAAGGCTAAAGGATCGCTTGAGCCCAGGAGTTTGAAGTTGCTGTGAGCTAGGCTGACACCAGGGCAGTCTAGCCAGGCCAACAGAGTGAGACTCTGCCTCAGGAAAAAAAAAAAAAAAAAAGGAATGGAATGCAAGAGAGAAACTGGCATTTTTTTTTTTTTTTTGACACAGAGTCTCGCTGTCAGCCTAGCTCACAGCAACCTCAAACTCCTGGGCACAAGCGATCCTGCTGCCTCAACCTCCCGAGTAGCTGGGACTACAGGCATGCGCCACCATGCCCGGCTAATTTTTTCTATATATATTAGTTGGCCAACTAATTTCTTTCTATTTATAGTAGAGACAGGGTCTTGCTCTTGCTCAGGCTGGTTTCAAACTCCTGACCTTGAGAAATCCAAGAGTTTGACCTTGACCTCCCAGAGTGCTAGGATTACAGGCCAGCCAAAACTGGCATTTCTTATCCCTCCTGATAAGGATGATGCTTATCAGGGGTCCCAGGAACTAGTATGAAAAGAATTTATTACAGCAGCTGTTCTAGCCCAGTTGCTCTACTCCCCCCAGAAAAACCCTTTATAAAAAAAAAAAAAGAAAATGTAAAGTATCACATAAATTACAGTGCTTTGTAATGGTTATGAAAAAATATTTTGTATAATTTTTAAAATAGGAAGTTTGAACTGGAAAAGGAAACTGAAGACTAAAAGTAGCAATACTTTAAAAGGCCAGGTTTGGAGGCTCACACCTGTAATCCCAGTACTTTGGGAGGCAGAATGATCACTTGTGGCCAGGAGTTTGAGACCAACCTGAGCAACATAGCAAGACCCTGTCTCTACAAAAACAATTTTTTCATTAATTAGGCACGGTGACATATGCCTCAGTCCTAGGCTGAGGCAGGAGGATCACTTGATCCCAGGAGTTCAAGATTACAGCGAGCTATGATTAGGCCACAGCACTGCAGCCAGAATGACGATGTGAGATCTTGTCTCTTAAGAAAAAAAAAAGCCTTCAAAAACCCTCTCATACAAATTCCAGCTGAGAATCACCGCATTAAACAATAAAGTCAGTTACAAATCTTCAAATTCAAGTATACATCTCATTGCCTTCATAAAATGTAGCAAAGAATAACTAACTACCTAAGTGAAGCCCTCAGACCCACAGTAAGAATTACAATGAGGATCAGAGAAAATATTGCCAAAATGAAATACGAATTCTGTGTGGTCCGTCAGGCTCCTGCTCAGTTAAGATACAGTAGGTATTCAGCTTTGAACGTCAACAAAATTATGTTAATATTCTACACAATCAAACCTCCTGCATTACTTGGGATTAATTCGTGAATGTTGAATCTGTAAATGGCATGAAAATTTTTTATTTTATACACATAAGTACCTCATTTTCAATGACTACATTGCCTAATATTTCTTTTCCTATTCCAGTATTTGAAATTTCACATAATTCACACCTTCATCTTCACCATCTTTCCAAAAATATCCCCCACCACTCCAGCTTACTACCCATGGGCCAAAGTAGGTAGTGAACAAACATCAGTAAATAATGTTTCTACACAAGCAGCACTCTCCACCTAAATTACACTTTCCCTCCTCTTTTCAAACACCAAACAAGGCTCAATATTCCGTTTTTAAAACTACTCTCTCAACCTGACAAATACTTTACATTTTTTTAATCCAACTTGATGTCAAATTGAAGATCACAGATAGTCTTACACATATCATTATGCCACAGCAATATGCACACAACTTGGTAGCCAAGAAATGTATGCCATGAGATAAGATTATACAATGTGAGCAATGAAATGTACCTGAAATTAGGTAACAGATAATACACCTCAATTTAACACCAAATCTCATAAATTATAAGCCTGATTTGGATTGTTCACATTTACTAATTGTGTTCTCATAAACGGAAAACATTTCCTCCACAAGAGATAAGCAAAATCCCCATTATTTCTCTTAACTTCCGAAAGATAGTAACTAGAGGACTTACCAGAAAAGTTGCCATGAATGGCAAAGCTGATGCCAGTGGCTCGCTGCAAGGTCAAGTTGTACAGGAACATGGTTGCGGCAAAAATGAGCCACCCAGAACTCCAGGCCTTGGTTCTAACAACAGTGTCAAGTCAAAGCAAGCTAAAAAGACATAAAAACAGAAAAACAGCTGGGCAATTTCTATTTTAACAGACATTTCTATATGGGCACTTCTGGCTTAAGTCAGCAGAACCAGTAGAGTAAGACCTATTTAGGAACAACGTATTTTTAATTAAGATTTCCTTCTACATGCCAGGGCACTATGCCATATATCTTGCCTTTAATCTCACAAGAATCCTATCAAGAGAAACTGAAGCTCACCTGCCTAAAGTCGCATACCAAGTGGTGAAAATGTTGGGAGCTGGGATCTGTACCATTAATGCAATCAATACTGCCTATTTGTCTTTGTCACAGAAACTAAAGAGATCTGTGTTTACTTGTATTCCGATGGCCTATATACATTTACATGGTTCAGAATTCAAAAGCACAGCAAAAAGCTCCCTGCAACCCATTCCCCAGCCATCAAGTCCTCCCTGAGGAAATCAATTTTACCTTCTTATTATATCCTTCCTTCCAAATATTTTTCAGAATATACACAAGTAAAAACATACATTTTTATTTTGTTTTCCTTTTAAAAGACAAGGGTCTGGCTTGTTGCCCAGGCTAGCTTCAAACTGCCAGGCTCAAGGGATTGTCCCAACTGAACCTCCCGAGTTGCTAGGACTATAGGTACACATCACAACACCCAGTTTGTAGGTATTTTATTCCCCCTTTTTAACAAAAGGTTGGCTACTATATTTTATATACTCACACTATACTGCAACTTGTTTTTTATTATTTTATCTACTTTATGATAGTAATAAACAAAGGGCTTTCTCATTTTTATTTTACAGCCACAGAGTATTCCACTGAATGGGCATATTATAATTCATTTAGCCAATACCCTACTGACCAATATTCAGGTTGTTTCTAATCTCTTGCTATTATGAACACTGCTGCAAAGAAAATCCCTTGTATGTAGGTCATTTATATGTGCATGAGTAGATCTCTAAGATTAATTCCCAGAAGTAAAATTGCTGAACTGAGGGGTTCATACATTTGAAATGTTGGTAGATCCGGCCAAAATGCCTTTCAAAGAGACTATCAATTTACGTGCCCAGCTGTGCATGCGAATCCGTTTCCCCCCAACCAAGGTGATATTAAGATTTCCAACCTTTGCTCATCTAAAAGATGAAAACTGGTATTTTAGCATAGTTTTCCTTTGCATCAGATGCAAACCACTTGACAAGTGGTTCAAGTTTAAAACTTAAACCTATTCACCACCAAAAACTGAATTCTCGCTTTTTCAGGAGAAGGCATAAAGTCACAAAAAAGGATTCCTTCTCAGCAGACAGGACTGAAGAGAGTACAAATAGAGGTGCCTCTGCCACAAAGATTAAACCAAAACTACACTTCTACAGTTACTGCTGAAAAGTAAACTGAATTATTTTTCCCCAGTATTATTTGAGACAAAAGCAAGAAATCTTGAGAAATCCAAAGTCATTGCCGTGTAATTAACATCCAAATTTGATTTTGTTGTTAAAGCAGAAGAGAGAATTATAAGTAAATGTTCTCATAAGTAATAATCATTTTGGGGCTGGGCAAAAGCAAGGTGACAAGAAATCGATCCTGACAGATACAAATCTTCCTATGTAAAGCACTAAAGATACATCTTTAATGATTCTCTAGAATCACAGGGAAAGATGAAGGAGAAGGTCTGATTCAGGTTGAAAGAGAAGCAAGTGGAGAAACGATCAAGAAGACGACAAACAGGAAACCAAGCGCCACTTCTTTTCTTAGTTTACAGCTGACTGAAAGAACTCAGCCTACACTCTCGTTCCTTCATAATTGATACCATCTATTACAAACCCTTGGAATTCATTTTCCCCAAACCTAGCAGGATCCAGGTTCTCCAGTTATATTTTAATCTTGGGTAATAGAGGAAGCTGCATCTTGAAGGAAGATCAGTCGTATACTAGAAGAACAATACACCGAGAACCATTAACGGCCCAAACTTGGTAAGCTTTGTAATTTCCCCCACGTCTACCTCCTGTCCGTGATTACTACAAGAAACCTGTGATTGCTAACTCCATCTTCCAAAAAAACATCATCGCATTTGAATTCTGCAAAGTCTCCAAAATAGATACTATTGTCCCACATTTCGCACATGAGAAAATGGAGATTCAGAAGACGAGGCAAGCTGCCCAACTACCAAAACACAAATTCAAACCAGAGCCTTGGCTCCAAAGACTGTTTCCGTTATTTACACTTAAATACACTTACGATCTATCATTCATCAGTGTACATTTACCCTCTCCAAAGGGAGGCGTCCCTCCAGCTACTTCTCACACTTCCCCGTCTGAGGCCCCAGGACCCAAAAGCGAAGCAACTCAATAAACCTTATTTTGAGCCAAGACACGTTCCCACCCTGTGGACGCAAGGAGGACGGGAAGCCGTTTTCGCTCCCCAAGCATTCTTCCCCATCTCCTCGTCCCCTGCCCGAATCTCTCAGGCCTACACTACCTAAGGCCCCCACAAAAGTCTCGCCCCCGCTTCTACATGGCCACTCTCCCCCTCCCTGGGCCCGGGGAAGTCGCAAGGCCGTTTCTTTACCTTACAGTGTGAAGGATGACGTAGATATCAGACGGATGCTCAGTCCCCTCAAGGCCTAAGCCACAGCCACCCCCAGCCCACCGGCGTCCGCCATTAGCCCTCAAGACAGGGACCTTTCGGTGGCGCGCGGCGAAAAATGCTACCCAACCCGGGCCTGAAGAAAATACATAATTTTTAAATGGCTTCCAGCTTGCTTCCATAACGCATTGAAAATTATTTAAACACACATTATTACCGTTTCTTTTTCCATGAAAATAGAAGATTAATAATGTTTCCAAAAAGTAGTCTTTTAGAGTTCGTTGGGCACTTCTGTGGGCAGCCCCAAGGACGCAGCGCGCCAACGACTAAGGGGCCTCGCGGGCCCGGAAGTGCCGAACAGGAACCAAGATGGCGAACGTTGATGCCCCTCAAAAGTTGTCAGGGATGCCTCCGCTGTCTGAGGGGGTGGGAGGTGGCCGCTGCTCCGAAATCTCCACCGAGCTCATTCGCTCCCTGACAGAGCTGCAGGAGCTGGAGGCTGTGTATGAACGGCTCTGCGGCGAGGAGGTGGGAGGGCTGAGCCTCCTGTCTTTCTAGGGGGATTCAGGGGCAGGGGCCATAGGAGCCTCAGTCTTGGGAAATCGGGCTGTGGGAAGCTCTCTGCTGGGAAAATCAGAAAAAGCGGGAAAACAAAGAAGCGGAAATGTAGCTGGGTATTTGGGGGGACCTGTCACCTCTTTGTACTCGGTCAGATCTGCCCAGCGTTGTTTTTCCCAATATATGGGCGATCTACACCCTCTCCCCTCAACTCCCTATTGATCTCCCTGGCCCATAGTTCTAGTTTCTTCACTGAGAGTTTATGCCAGAGCGCTTGGTTTTCAAAATAAGAATAATCAGCCTCTTGCATTGCCTTGGCAATTTAAAAATTATGAAACACTTTCATCCTGTTAGCTCTTTTAAGGGGAAGGTCATTGCAGATAAACTCCTTGAAGCATTTTAAGACTTCTCTTTTGGGGAATGATTTAGTAGTGTGATTTATGCGTTTGAGTTAAATGCACAGCTTGGTAGAAGTTGGAGCTTTTAAGACTCAGGCACACTGTCTAATCTTGGACAAGTCATTTCATCGCTTCATTCTGTCAAATGAGGGGCGTGGACTAGATTCTAAGATTCATTTCATAAAATTCTATTTCCTTCTGCCTTCTTCACTTTTTCATCGCAACCTGCTGCTGTCGATTCACTTTAGAATGTCAGTTAGGCTTGAATATTTTCAAATATTAACTTGCACCAATTCTAGCAGTTTCTGATACGTTTTTCAGCAAGATGTGTTTTAAAATTTAGTAACTTAACTTTCCTAAGCTTGTATTCATTGAGTCGATCAATACTTTGGGTGGAAAAATAAGGAAATCTTACAAACAGAACAATATCAGTAATGTGTTTGTATTTGATGACTGTCGGGGGAAGTTTCTCTCTGGAGCCTACTGGGCTATTTATGTATGTATGTATGCATTTTAAAGCAGCAGGCTTCAGGAACATCCCAGTAAGCCCCAGGTCCTGGAAAGCGCAGCCTGCTACCTATTTTTGTTTTTTAGAGGTGCTCTGTTGCCCAGGCTGGAGTGCAGTGGTACAATCCTAGCTCATTGCAGCCTTAAACTCCTTGGTTCAAGGGATCCTCCTGCATCAGCCACCTGAGTAGCATGCCACCATGCCAAGCTATGGGCTATTTTACTACTAATAAAAATGTATAGCTGATATTAATGGCTATTGTTGAACTATATGCTATATACCATGCTAAGCACTTTATGTTACCCCATTTGACACAACAGTCCTATGGGGTATGTATTGGTATTCCTTTTTTTTTTTTTTTACAGATGAGAAAAGTGAGACATAAGAAGGTTTCATAAATTGAGGTAGCACAGTAAATGGCTTGACTGAGTTAGAATTGTACCCTCTGGGTACTGATTATGCACCAAGAAGACATTTTTTTGTGACTGCCACTTTGAAAATGTCATTTTTTTAGGCAGTGTATTTTAAATGCCTTCCTGTGGTAGGCACTGTGCTAATGATACTGAATAAAAGTTTATTTCCTCCCTCCCATTGTGGTGCTCACCTGCGAGATGGAATAAGATACATGTAAGGTAACAAACATAATGCAATATGGTAAGTCCAAAAATGAAGTGTTAACTGTTAAAGTCTGAGGGGAGTATAGTAGAAGGAAAGAAGAAATAAGAGGGATTCACCGTTCAGCTAAGTGGTTGGGTTAGATAACTCTTAAGGTTCCTTCTGACTATTCTGATGAAAGGATATTTCTCTGTGTTTCAGAAAATGGTAGAGAAAGAGCTGGATGCTCTTTTGGAACAACAAACCACCATTGAAAATAAGATGGTCACTCTCCACCGAATGGGGTGAGTCTGTGCACCTCAGTAAGAGCTATTATAAACTCCAACAGGGTCCATTAGACAAATAATTATTTTTCTTCCTGTTATAAACTGCTAGATGATTTTGAAATGTAGATAAGCATTACTTCAAGGTAAAGTGAACACCTAAGGGTATACTTCAGGGGTTCCCAAAGAGTCCTTGGATCAGCAGTAGCAGTATACAATGGAAACTTGATAGAAATGCAAATTCTGGGCCCCCACTCCAAATTTACTGAATCAGAAACTCTGGGGGTAGGGTCCAGGAATTTGTATTTTGACACATTAACTGCCATGGTATTTAACTCATGCTAGTTTTGAGCCTGGGGCCTTATGAAGAATATATAATTCACATGTCTACATTGGGAACCACATGGTACACAGGCAACTCATGCTGCCATGCTGTAGCGAACATGTTACATGATAGGTGGCCCCCTGGGCAAAACCCTGCAGTTGGTTTGTGAAAATCTTACTTGTTGATGTTCTTATTGTTATAATAAATATTGATATTTAATTGCATATAACTCACAGAAAACAATAAAAAATAACAAATTTTTCATTAAATTAGAAAGGATCATTTTGTTTTCAAAGTTTTTATTCTATTTTCGTAATAAAACACACTGTGGCCTCAAGGAAAAAAATTTTTTTCTAGAGTGACAGTCACAGTTACCAGGGGATGCTGAAGCACTGCTCAAGTTTGAGAACCACTCTTTTTATAGATTGTCTGTATTTACTAGTCATAAAAATTTCTCTTTAATCTCATCATCCTCTCAGATTGTTGGTTAGCTCATTTTAAGTTCACTTAGCAATTGGGAGAATCTGTTCTCTAATATTAAATATAGGTCCGAGTTATAATAAAGCACTCTTGAGAAAAAGCTGTGTCTAGAGGGAACTGAGCTAAGAGTTGTGAGGAGGTACAAAAGAAGCAGAAGACATAGTCTCTATATGCAAAAAATGTTTCCATCTCTTACCCTCTGCCCCTGTGGATATGTATGTGCTGACACTGTTTTTCCAGTCCCAACCTGCAGTTAATCGAGGGAGATGCAAAGCAGCTAGCTGGAATGATCACCTTTACCTGCAACCTAGCTGAGAATGTGTCCAGCAAAGTCCGTCAGCTTGACCTGGCCAAGGTAATCCCACTGAGCTTTTGATGTTTGAGTTAGTAGAGGGTAGTAACGAAGCTACTAAATTAGAATCAGCTCTTATGAATACAGATATAAAAATCCTCAACAAAACACTAGCAAAGTGAGTCCATCAACATATAAAAAGAATTATATACCATGACCCGGTGGGATTTATTCTAGAAATGCAAGGTTGGTTTAACATCTGAAAATCAATTAATATAATATACCATATTGGTAGAATAAAAGGACAAAAACCACATGATCGCCTCATAGACTCAGAAAAGGCATTTGACAAAATGCAAAGCCCCTCATGATAAAAACACTCAACTGAGGCTGGAAACAGTCGCTCACACCTGTAATCTCAGTGCTTTGGAAGGCTGAGGCAGGAGGATCACTCGAGGCCAGGAGATCAAGACTTAGCCTGAGCAACATAGGAGACCCCATCTCTACAAAGATTTTTTAAAAAATTAGCCAGTCTTCATGGCATGCACCGCAGTCCCAACTACTTGGAAAACTGAGGCAGGAGGATCGATCACTTGAATTCAAGGCTACAGTGAGCTATGATTGGGCCACTGTACTCCAGCCAGGGTGATAGAATTAGACCCTGTCTGTTCTTGCTACATCTCTTTAACGTTGTACTAGAGGATATAGCCAGGGCAGTTAGGTAAGAAAATGAAGTAAAAGTCACTCTGGGCCTGGTGAGGTGGCTCACACTTGTAATTATAACACTTTGAAGGCTGAGGCAGTTAGGATCGCTTGAAGCTAGAAGTTTAAGACCCGCCTGAGGAACATAGTGAGACCCCCCCGTCTCTACAAAAAATAGAAAAATTACCCAGATATGGTGGCATGTGGCTATAGTCCAGCTACTTGAGAGGCTAATGCAGGAGGATTGCTGGAGCCCAGGGGTTTGAGGTTGCTGTGAGCTATGATGATGAGCTATGATGATACCACTGCTCTCCAGCCCAGGTGACAGAGTGAGACCCTGTCTCAAAACAAACAAACAAAAAAAGTCATTCAGATTGGAAAAGAAGAAATCAGAAATTTAATATGAACCAACTACATAATTTTCTACTAGCCATTTTTTAAAAGTAAAAAGAAATAGGTAAAAATAATTTTAATAATTTATTTAAACCTTATTAACAAAATATTCACCTGTAAATTGGCTATTAACATGATATTATGAGATAGTTACTTCTTATTTTTTGTACTGAGTCTTTGAAATTTGGTGTTTATTTTACACATACACATCTTAATTTGGACTAGCCACATTTTAAGTCCTCAATAGCCATATGTCCGTGGCTACTGTGTTGAATAGTACATGGCCTGGGTTCTTGAACAAGTCATTCCTAGCCTCAGTTTGCCCCTGTGAGATAGCATAACTCTTCCTAATCTGTTTGCCCAGGCTCTGCAAAAATTAGCGTTCGACCTAACGAGACAACGACACACTGCAGCTAGCTCAGGGCACCCTGTGGCCGAGGCTCAACACATGAGTCCCACATCAGCATGGGGTATATTCGCCCGTGGCACTTATTTATTCTGGACTTCCTAGTGACTTGTATGTGTTGTTCGAGGATACTCGCATCTGCTCGCCTCTGTCGCCCTGGCTCGAGTGCAGGGCATCG